ACAATACCCATTCACACAAAATTAAACACCAGATAGTAAGCTAACAGTACCTAATGCCACAAACTCACACTCTTTACAGGTGTTGAATTCTGTGTGGTTAGGGAAGGTTAGCGTTATTAAACCTGGGCCCAATTTCACGGCAATGCTGAGAACACAAATGCGGGCCGTAAGCAGTAACCATTCCAGAAGGCATTCACAACATGTACCTTGGATTACAAATTTGCTAAAAACAGTGACAATACAATGCGCATGCAACCGTAAATAGAATCATGCCAAACACTGCCGTGAAGTAGTGCTTATTGTGAGCAAATCTTCAATGCTACAGTAAACATGACTGTTAAGCAGCTCTGCAAAAATGGGCCCTGGTCATGGCTGATCCTCTTGCATACCTTTTGGTTGGCTCTGCTTTACCCGTTTCAATCTTATCTGGGTTGATGTGAAAGTGCAGGCGGCAGATTCGACCATCCTGAGAAAAAAAGGATTCATGGCGGTAGAAATAAATGTGCACATGCTTACTGAAACTCTTTTGAAATACATGACTAAATGTCACATTAGTTTGTGAACTGTTTTACTGTCAAGTGAAGCGTGTTTTTGCTTTCATTTGATAAATAATAGAACTGAAGCCCCCAAATCAGGGTCAAATATCAGGCATATCTGACTCTAAAAAAACCCAAAAAGTTCTCTTTAGACCCCCAAAAGTACATGAATAATGACTTGTACAGAATGCTGAAAATGGAAGACTTTTCAGTAAAGAAAGAAAATATCAAAAATCCCATCAAATTGGGATAAGCATTGTGCCAATATGTATTGCCAAATACAGGTCTAACTTTTTACATGTTTTGTCAGGCACTACATAGAAAGCTCATCTTTCTCAATGTGTGGTTGCACCGGTGAAGCAAAGTAAAAGCCTGCAGTGCCCTGCGACAAACGATGAAAGCCAACCTGTTCCATCTGGAGTTAAAACGCCCCGAGTACAAGCTTGTCAATCGACAAGCATGGTTTACCAACTGTCTTGGAGAAAACTCATGATGCTCGCAGCCCTATGTGTCACCCAACAAAGAAGACTTAACACCATGGGGAGGCATGAGACATCACATACATTTGCTTTTCCCTTCAGCATCCATTTCTTGTGCGCTTACCTCAAGCAGAAAGGCTGCATGGTGTGGTCCAACCACCACCAAGTTGACGACCTCGTGCTTCAAAGGAGGTACACCAGTAATGCTACAAATAAGCAAATTAACATTGGTATAATATACATGTATCCTTCAAAAATTAAACTACACACACATACAATGACATAGGGTTGCAAAAAAATTTTTCAAGGTGGAAATATTCCTGGGAATTTTCTGAGAATATTGGGATTTTTCATAAACTCTCGATGGGCAGTCTTTTTTGGTGTACATGTATATGACGAAGTGTATAGTTGCTTGTCATGTGAGATTAGGCATTCCTGATAACCGTAGAGTACTGTAATAAAGAGGAAAGGAAAATAACACTTTTGGAACAACATGAAAACTGATTCATTTCTAAAAACAGAAATTCCAACTTTTGCTTTGGACATACATGTACAGTGTACTTTATAAAACACATACATTTGTACATGTACACATGTGACTACATGTACATGTAGTGGTATAAAAGGGGCTGAAAAGCTGTTGCATAAAGTTGCAATCGGCAGGAGACTTATACCACCACTGACACACACCATATTTATGCCTTTGCCTTCTACATGCATCAAAATCTATAGCTTGCACTTTCTTTCTCATTTAAAGATATTTGATGAATCTAGCATAGCAGCAGCGCACATGCCTAGTTACATTGTACATGTTGTAGAGTGCGTGGTGGACATTACTTGCAACGCCTTTGGAGACTGGATGGAAATTTCGTGCATCGTAATTGTATGTAAATCGTATGAACTCAGTTTTTAATTAATATTCATGTTTTTCATTTTCATATCAAATTAAAGCACCTAAAACTTTAAAGTACCGGTACATGTATTTTTAAGCATATGGAAGATGTAAGAGAAACTTATAATTAGGGCTGAGCCAATTCGAATAATTCACTATTCGAATATTCGACCTTCAATTCGATCAAATATCTGAACATTCGCTTGTAATGACCGGCAGATTGTTGATGAACAAACCATATGCAAAATCAGTTGCAATAATGCACACCATTGTACATTATAATCACTATAATAGCTTCTCGTGTCTGGGAGTATCTCCAGCCACGATTTAGCAAGATGTAGAGACAAACAATACTTATTGTCCTTTTGAAAATTTCTATCCCTTTTAATAAATAATTTACTTTTTGAATTGTAAGATTTCTGTCGCTTTTCATTTATATCTGCTTGAAACAAGCCTCCATAATGTGATTTTTCTCATTTAAAACGAAAGAAAATTTTCTCTTTTCATGAATTTTGCATTAAAATATTCAAATTCAGAAAATAATATTCAAATATTTGATAATCGATTGAATATTTGGATCTTCGGTACAGCCCTACTTACAATGATCAAAATTTCCTTTAGAAATTTGATCTTTTTGTTTGTTTTTGTCATACGTAGATTCCAAAATTCCTGACCAGACAAAAGTTCCCAAAACTTTCCATGGAAATCTTCCAAATTTCCAGGAAAGTTTCCACCCTTTGTAACCCAACACACACATGTATCATCACACAAAAGCACGATATGCAATGCATAACATTGTTAATTTTGCAGATTTCTTCAACTTCACAACTTAATTGACCGTGACAATAGGACTTACCTAGCTGCAGGCTGTCTCCGGATTTTCTCTGCAAGTTCCCTTAACCTGTTGACAAAGAAAAAACACCCATAAAATACAATTCAGTGGAGGTGATAATCCAAACTACACACATGAGGTGAGACAAAAGATTGGAGTTGTCATCATAAGTAGATTTATTGACCCCTGCCTTAGTCATATCACTTTGCCATTTGAGTCATAACCTTGCAAGTTGTAATATGCTGTACATCTTAAAGGTAGCAAATGTGGCTGGGGCATATTTAGCACTACTTACAGAACTGCAAGTCACTACCCCGTGTGAATTGCAGACCTACAACTTTTTCTGGGTTCGTAATTACTATGGGTTTTTGAGTGCAGCCCAGTAATATCAAATCGGGATACATTTACTGCAATTGAAAAGTCCAATTTCTCAATCAAATCTTTTCCCCAAAAGACATCCTAACTGATGCATATTTCTTTAAATCTTATGACCTATGGTGTTACGACCATGCGACGATTAATTTTCTTGAAAAAAATCGGTGCTTCTGCACATGTTGTAAGAGTTTCTCGGAATCCTACCAGAATAGTAATAATAATAATGAATATTTATAATGCGCTGGTATCCGCCTCAAGAGTCGCTCATGGCACAGTACAATCAAGAAAAAGAAAAACCAAAATAATTAAGATGTAATAACTGTTAACGAAGAAGTGGGATTTCAAGACAACTTTGAACTCTGAGACTGAGGGGATAGAACGGATATAAAATGGTAGTTCATTCCAAAGACGGGGACCTGCATTAGAAAAAGATCGATCACCCCATGAATTGAGACATGTGAGAGTATGAGGAATAGAAAGCAAATAGCAATCGGAAGATCTTAAATGCCTAGGTGGTTAGCCACACGAAAAAAGTCAACTGGTTGTAATGAGCACGCGAATCAGGGAAATTGATTTGCAAACCAGGGAAATGACACGTTGTTGTTGCTCACATCATAACTGGCGATGTACCGGTATTTTGAGTCTGGAAAACGCTACTTGCATTCAAGTTGCCTACATTTTTCCTCTCCAGAGCTTTCTCATTATTGTACCAAGGAAAGCAAACCTTGATAGATTTTATTTTGGCGGGCGCATGAGTGTCCAAGAGCTCTGTAAGGATGAGATTGTGTTGGTCAGCAGCTTCTTGGACAGAACCAGAAATGGCTGACAAGATATCATGCTCAAGGAGATCGTTGGCAAAGTACTCCCTGTTAACTGCTCTGATGTTCCTTACAGTATTTGTGTGCGAGTTGATTGCGGTTTACGAATATTCATGAGACAAGAAATGGCTGAGTGATCGGAGATACCCAGCACAAGTTGCAGAATCAGCGATAACTTGAGCACTTCAGTAAACTGTATCCTGCCACCATGTTAGATCACAAATAAAAGCTGCGCTATATGGTTGGTCACTGTATGGATGTGGTTAGGCCGATCACTGGATCACAGTGCAGCTTTCATTTGTCATAATTTTTCAGGAGACAGGAACTCAAGACGACAAAGATACATGTACATGTAGGAGCTGAGTTGCAATTTGGTCAAGCTGTTGTATTGTTGACAATGATGAGAGAATATACAATGTATGTACATGTACATGTGCGGCAACATGCATTGTGAATTGAACAATTTTAATGAGATTTAATCCTCCTACAGTATGCTGAAGTCACTCTTTGGGTCACCTGGTAAATACCTCAAAGAAGCACAGCTGTGTTGTGTTGTGCACTGCACTAACTGTCCCTCACAGGCATGACAGGAATATCAGATTGCACTTTTGTGCTGCCCAACAACTGTGCTTCACTGTTTCATGTGCATAACTGTGCAGTAAACCAAATGCAGTGAAGAGGACTGCACAAAAGACCCTGGGTCATTTTGTGCTGGCAACCAAATGTGAACATACTGAACCTGTGCATGTTCGTGTTCAGTATAGAAAACACATGCAAGAGTGTGCCTGCTGAGCACGCGTGCATATTTGTGTTGTAAAACCAAAGGAGGGTTAAAGCGGATAAACCTCCCTAGCAGGCATCTGACCTCACCAAGAAAGGGTGTACACGTACTGTTACTATCATTATTTAATTTCTGGCAATGACACCAAGGATTCCGCAACTGAGAGCCCTAAGCACTGTACATGAAGCTTGCAAGCCTGAAGAAACCTGTACAGAGGAGATACATGTAATGAGAAGCAGTCACAGTTTTAGAGGTGGGAAGAAAACCCTTGAGGAATGTTCTGCGTCGAACCCACAAATCATGCCAATGACTGCACTTGCTCCGCATCTTGGCATGCTTGGCTTGACAATTTCCAGTGGCAGGGGATAACATCTTGTGTTGTATTTGTCCCAGCTATACATACACGGGGCAGCACATGTCGCGCGTCATGCCTGATGTGTGTTTCCAGGTCACAACAGCAACCAGGATGGTCCCACAATGAAAACAACGCCACCGAAAATGGTCGAGCCAAGATGTGGAGCAAGAACAGTCATTGGTGGGTTCGACGCATGCGCAGTCTGATAAACATGAACGGAGCAACGGTCAACGGGTGGAAGCGAGAAACTGGTGAGCAAAATTTGCATTTGTTTTCACAAATATCCTGTCTCACGCTCTGAAACTTGGTTATCCCACTTTTCAGGAGGTATAGATTAATTTAGGCAGGTTTGATGACAGTGGAAAATTTAATTTAATAGCTTTCTTACATCTGTCATGTCTATGAATCATTTCACCACAAAAATTTGATTCCAAAACCCCATATCATTATGACGCCATGTAAACCTTGTCTTCTCGAAGTCACACGGAGTATAATGGAGTAGTGACTGGAAGTTCTCGAAGTAGTCTTCAGGTACATTAGCAATAGCATACAGTTTGACCTGCAGAATACAGAAGATGGCTCCTTTGAGCTCGACAACAAGAGCGTTTCCGAATTGAAGGGGAAATTTCTCTTTTCTTCCCACATGTGTGTAAACCTTACTATCATGATTGGAATCTATGATTCTCATTTAATCCTTAGCCGGGAGCATTAGACAGTTGAAGGACCATTTGGAGATCAATTTGGAGGATTTCGATGTGGGGTACGAGCTACATGTATTTTGAGTGAAATGAATTAATTGAAACAAAAGTCTATGAAAGGTACTTGGACCCTACTATCGCTCGACCATGTCCAAATGTTTAAAAAAGCGATTTGTAGGGTCCAAGTTACTCGGTTATGCACCGAGCCGGGAATCGAACCCGGACCGCAGAGGTGGAAGGCGAAGAAAGAACTACATGTAGGCCTAGTTCTAGGCGAGGCCTAGCTGATTAGGCACTACACCAACCCGACTCCCCAGCATATTTTTTCACTAGCAGAACATAGAGGTCAGTAAAGATGAAGGAGCAGATGGGATGTTTGCAGTACATGTACAACATCATGTACCACTCTAGGGCGCGCGATGCTGTGCAAGCTTAGCATGCGAAGTCGAATCCCACCACAATGACGAACATGACGAACTAGAAATTCACGAAGCAAAGGAAAGCCTAGGTCTTCGGAAGTAGTAAATCCTACCTATCGTTTAGTTCATCCTCTGTTCCAGGAAGTGGGTGTACAACAAAGTGTACTGAAGCCATGTGGACACAGCAATTACCATTTATAACGAGAATAGAAGGAGATAAAAATTGCCTAAAAATTGCACTCCACGATGCCGACACATACGATCCTTTGACAACATCGAGACGAGTCGACCATTAATTGAAAACTGGTACTCCTGTCTGGCGCCGGCTGCACGTGTTTAATAGGGTGATCCGTAAAAGAGGCATGGATTACCAGCGGAGTGCAACCTCGCACGTTAAACAAGTTTGCGGTCATCCACCGTCGATCCCAAAGGTAAAGTCCAACAGCAAGTGATCATGACTGCACTGTCGATGGATACAACCATCTGTGTGGAACAGTCTGTGACCTCTCAAGAGAGTAAGGCTAGGCAGCGCCGCCGGCCGGGCAAAGACTAGAAGTACTTTGAGATTTTATTGGTCCTCTCAAGCTGACTGTGTAAGTCTGAATGGTCAGACTTCCAAATGTCGCGAGCACATTTTTCCGATAGTATAACCACGGGTGACCCGCTGACGATTTTAAGAGGCAATCAATTAATCAGTGCATTTACGACTTTATGCTGTCGGTCCCGGTGATCAAAACTAGGCGTTTTTAACTTTATAATTTAATATGTAGGGCCTACATTTGGTTCCTTATTGGGACAGTTTCAATAGGGCCTACCCTAACCAACTACCTGGGGTCAAGTTCCGGTTTGGGCATCAGGTTCTACCCGGCCACCACTTGAACTTCTCTTCGCTTTCGTCAATAGGCAATTAGTTGCCAGCTGTGTTCGCGCAGCAAAGCGGTAAATCATGGCACCATACACACGTGACGTACACAAGTTGAGAACGGAGCATATGTGATTTGTTCCAAGTATTAATTTCCGAAAAAAACCTGTGAACTACGAACATCAATTGTAATTAATATCAGATATTTTAGTGATTATGTTTCGAACATGCTATTTTAATCTGTGTAATTTTCAAATTCAAGTTATCATTTAGTGGATTGCCAAATAGATCACGCTAGATTATTTGTTTATATATTTTTTTATAATCTGGACATATTGAATTAGATTTAAATTTGAATTAGTGTAGGCCTATCAGTCGTTCAAGTTGATCGATGATTCCTCGAATCTTGATCATTTACAAGTTTAGCTTTGGTCTTTACAAGCATTTTGTTAACTACACGACTGGGGGTCTTTTTGTCTGCCAGAGACCAAAGATTTCAAAACTAGAATATTGTTCGCGATCATGAGCAAATCATGGCTTCATTGTAATATGATAAATATATAATACTCCTCCTGATATGGCAACACAGTAAACGCCTTCTGTGATCAAGATTAGCATGGAGTTCAAGCTTCTCTAACTTTGCTTGTGCCAATTAAGTACAGCGGTCTAAATGATACCTGGACATCAATAGACCTTATTCTAGGGGAGGTTATGTTTTAAGTTCTGTGAATTATCACATTGGAGACTATTTTGGTTTAAGATCTCACTTTCAGTTTTGTTTTTGTTTTATATGGGTTGTTTGTTTTGTGTTAATGTGGCTAAAAATATAATTCTTCACACACTTGGAATTATTCCAAAAAAAATATGGGATGAGTTACTATATTTCTGAACTTTAATTTTGTCGTTATTTTTACTCTGTGGATTCCAAAATGAATTTTTACCCAACTTTCAATTCAAGCTGGCCGACACATGAATGCAGTCTATTAATTGGTGTTTACTTCTTGTGCAATGCATGGACACTGCAAACCCTCGCATTTCTCATCGAGTCGAGTCTTTCGGGCTCCTGCCCCACCTATATGTAATGTGCACATGGACGGATCGTGAACCAACAAATTCAGAGTGGGAGAACTTGGTTTTTTAGAAGGCAAACAAATGGAAGTTTTTCATGTGAGTGTTGATAGACGCGACAATAATCTTTCTGTCATAGAAAAAAAAGAAATCCTGTTTAGGGTATGAAGCGCCATGGCCCGGGCCCCAGGATCCGCCCCAATTGAGAAAAAAGGCCGGGGCATTGGAAAACGTACAAGCTTCATATTACACCAGTTCCAAAGGTGCGCTGAATTCCCAAACATGGCAATAACGCGCGCGTGCCACATGTTCGACCGGGTACGCAGTACGCCCCCCCCCCGGGAGCCCGGTGCCCCGGCGCGCTGCGGTCTTTATGACATAACAAATCGCCCTTCTACCCGCACTACTTTACCAGCTCAAGAGATGATCGCTTTACAGCATTTGATCTCCATGGAGATCAATGCTTGGATGTGAAACATTCGATCAATAAATACCTATTATCGAATAGTTTATGTGTAAACATTATTTCTTTTATAGCAATTAAAATTTTTATTCAGATTGGAAACCTTTTGTTGCTACGTACATGATAACGACTGTGCCCGATCATCGATCATTAGAAAAAAATAATGACTTGTGAATAATTTTTTTCAATCATATTTCCACCAACTACTCGGTCTAAAAGAAAGCAAGTTAGCAAGTAGTTCCGGGAAATCAACTCACTACGCGCATGGCAAGGCAAAAAGTAAACAAACCACGATTGTAAACACATGTAGCCTGACAATAATTTTTTGGTGATTTTCTCGTTGTGAATTTCGAGATAATTTTGGAAGTTTTGCGAGCCGTACTTGATACATTGAGAGATATCTCATATGGTGAGTTGGCATTTGTAAATTGTATAGCATTATACATTATGACCCCACTACTGGTAGACCTTTCAAGTTTCGAGGATTTGAGAAAATTAAGTGGGTTAAGATATATCAAATATTTCTACCATGGCAGAACCAACAATGGCCAGAAAGCATGAAATGAGCTCCAACACCGAGAATCAATCTGGAATAGACGCGACTTTTAGCCATCAGATAATTGGCATGAAGTGTGCTGTGATTGACAGGCGCCCGCCACCTGACATGTAAGAAATGAAAGCAACAATTTCACCAAAAACCAGGAGGCCTAATTGATATAAGACATACACTCTTGAAACAGACTCTCTGGACAAGAAACAGATAAAGCACAAGAAGGAAATAGACACAGTAGCTTTATAGAGCACATTGTAGAAAGGAAAGTGAAAACTGCCTCGAACTGATTCACATAGCAAAGTAAATACTTGTAAATCTAATGAGCAAGCACATATGACATAAAAAGATGAGACTTGTTCTTTGAGTGAAACTGCATGATTTCAAAAACTGACGGCAAACTACTTCAAAAATGAATAATGTGTTTCTAATAGGACCAATTATTCAAATAAACTGAAATCATCAGACCTTATCATGAATTTTCTCAGTGGATTGCAGAAAAAAAAATCTGTGCACAGTAGTTCACAGAATATTTGTTTTTAAAAGATATCCAAGCAGTTCGGTTGTGGGACCTCACTTTTACAGAAATGAGAATTTGAATGATTTGACTGTTTGCGTTTTTCCTTTCAGGAAAATGAAAAGAAAGAAGATGTCTGGGTTGAGGCGTGCTATCCAAGCTATCTTCAAGCCCAAAGACAAGACAGCTGATTCTCCTGATATAAACATATCCAATCCTGCTATTCCTTCAAGGTACCCTAGTACAACCAGTGTGAAAGTTTGCCAACAAAACACAAAACTGACTTTTTCTACAACTTTTTAATACAAATCCTACCTGTGTTTTTACCGCCTGAAGATAAAAGATCAGCTTACAAGACATTGTATCTTCCTTCCGATAGAAGCTCAGATATACTCAACTTAAGCTGCTAATAAGAAATGGGGAATCTTCCCTACATACCTACGGACTCTTCACCAAAAGTATACTGGTGTTATTTACCCCAAATAACTGTTGCAGATAAATTCATTACTTGGTCTGTTTTTTACCCTGAAAGATTGGAGAAAGAGGTGAATGAGGATGTTGCCACGGTAACAGAAGCCAATGAAGAAAGCTATTCCTCATCCCAGTGTTCTTCTGCCTCTACAAAGTCTCTGGAGACAGGCTCCTCACAATCTGCACCAGCTATCTCAACTCTCTCACCTCCTGAGAAAAACTTAACTCCCCATGCTAGAGCATCAAGGCCGACCAAGACTCCATCTGAAGGCAAAAGCAAGAAGTCTGGCTTTTACATGTACAATGGGCATCCATCATACCTGGGGAGTCGCTTGTACCAGTGTAGAGACGTCAAACCAGGACTGGATATTTTGGGACGATGGGTGGAGCTAGGCTGTGGCGAGACTGGAACCACACGTCTTGTCCACATCCCGTCTGAAAATGGCAAACTCGTCGCTGCAAAGATCATCCAAGGAGAGGACCCTGAGGTCCGATTTCACAAGGAACTTGATGCCCTCCACATTGTCAATGGCCATCCATCATTTCCACATCTGGTAGGCGTTATCCAACAGTCCCCACTCCGTTGTATCTTGGAGGAGTTCGTCGGCAATGACTTTATCCCCGAGAACACCACCTTGGAGGACGTCCTGAAGGACAAGAAGATCGTCGCATCAGAGATACCTTACAGCGACTGGGTCCAGATTGCCCAGGACATAGCTGACGGAATAAAACACCTCCATCAGCTGGAATACCTCCACATCAATCTCAAGCCAGAAAACATCCTGCTTTATGCCACAGACGGCAACTGGAAAGGCTGGCGAGCCAAGATCTGTGACCTAGGAGACTGCACCTTTATGAGGCTTGCTCCCAAGATCCACTCCACCCCAGAGATCCAAGCTGCAGCAGAGTCTGCTGCTAAGCCCTTCGTAGCACCTGAGGTGCTCCGAGGTGAGACCCCATACACAGTGGCCTCTGATATCTACGCTCTTGGAAGAGTACTCTCTGCGATCGGAAAGAAGACCAAAATCACCTTGCTCCAGCACATTGGCAAGAAGTGCTCCCGCAAGACTGCTGTCAAGCGCCCCGACATCGACAAGGTGTACAACATGCTGGAACGTCCTTCCACTCCCAAATAGACTAATGACAGTTGATGATTATGTGGAGATGGTTCCATCCAGAGAGTGGCAGGCAATAAAAGACGGTGCCAACTACATGTGGATCACATAAAAATTGGACACTTAAGTTCATCTGTTTGAAACCACATTGCTTTCCTCAAAGGCCAGGTCACTGATCTTGCTAAGTGCTTAAAGGCCTTCTTGCATATAATCCACTGAATGCCCACTCAAGTTTTACTAAAAAATAAACAGTAACTTGTACAGCAGAACTGTGGGCAGATGCCTTTTAAAAAATCACGTTGAAATGAGCTGGTAAAGATATATATATTATGACTTTCCAGGGCCTAATGTATTCCAGTAACTATCCTCCAAGACTCTTGCAATAATTGCATAACAATTACTTTACTAAGGAAAAAGGCACAACTCTACTATGCTGCCAAGAGAGCTGTCAGTCAGTATCAGTCCTAAACAATAAGAAGAAACATTATTTTGTTTTGTATTGCATTACCACAAATTACTTTCTGCTGGACAGAAAACATGAACATATTTCTAAATGCAATCCTTTGCAACACAAGGAGTTGTGCTTCTTCATGGGCCATGTCCCTGCTATTCTTTTTGGATGAAAACAATGCAATTATTAATTTTGATAAAATTTGTAAATTTGACCAGTTACAAAATTTTGTATGGAATCACTGCCACAAATACTTCCGATTTGTAAAAGATGTTGCAGTACTAAGGACTCAACATTTCTAGTTATGAAATGATCATGAAAATTGTTGAAAACCAGATACTTTTTCAATAGAAATCACTCCTTGATAATTAAATATTCTGCTATTTATGAAATCTGAAAAAATAAAAGAACACATATCTGAAAATTCGAGAGTATGGTGCTAGTCAATATAATTATTGTCATGTCTCGCATGATGATTATTGTCAGTATTTAATATTAAAACATGATTGCTCTCTTATCAAATATACAAAGAATCCTTTCCGTTATAAACAAATATACTTATATATTTTACTCACCATTATGAAAAACTAAAATAAACATTCTATTCTAAATGCAGTGATGATTACTTTGGCCAGATTTTGGATAGTAAACAAAACAAAAGATAGCACATCCACAAATTGAGTTCTAGCTTCTGTTAGAAAAAAATCTCTCTCAGTCAACACTCAACTGAGCTGTGCTCATACAATTCATACGGTTGTCTTCATAGCTTAATTATGTGTGGAACTGCACAAATAATTTTGGGTTTATCTGCAATTAATTTCAGGTCATTTTGACAAATATACTAAGAACAAAAAGTGAAAGAGTCCAACTGTAATTTTTTCTCGATAAAAAGACACACAAGTCCTGTAATTGAAAGGTTATAATGAGAATTTCATCACTTTCATCAAAGTCGTTTCAAGATGAAGTTTGGTGCTTTTTTGTTAATTTGATTAAAAAAACAAGTTTCCGCCAGTGGTTTGGCATGTAGGTAAAAGCCACACCCAGATTTGGGAGTTTCACCATTAGCATGAATAAAAATAGAGAGTGAAAAATATTCCGGTCCATTTTGATCACCAGTACGAAGTCACTGCTTTTAAATTGTCCTGAGTAAAGTACTGCAATTAATGCATTTCATCCCATAACTGCTTCTATTGACCCACTCACCTTTTTTAACTACATATGTATTACATTGAAAGTTCCCTGCCTTTCACCTGGTCTGATAGCATGCTTTAGTTAAATACATTTACATTGTATCAAAACAGCGTTCTATTTAGATCTCCCAATTTATAAGCTCAGAGATCAAAAGTACATTTTTTTTGGTCAAATAGATTGAAAAGTCGGTAAGATTTTGCCAAGATCCACTTGCCTTTCTAACAGTACTTTTAAACTCATTTCATAATTTGAACCTAAAATGACAAAGATCCAACATATCTTTCCAAACGCAAATTTGATTTTTCAACCGTCAGTTATAAAACATATTTCAATTGTATTTCTTAAAAACATTTTAGAATTTCATATAAACTTCAAATCTTTCTGTTCTAATGCGTGCATGTGTATACAATTTTACAATGTACTTTAAATGGCAACACAATTTAATGTCACATTCAAGAATGCAGCATAATTAAAAAAATATTGTGATATCTTTTCAGTACTACAAACAAACAACTATCACATTTTAGTTGCCTTCCTGATTATCTTTCACCTCATCTTTCTCCCATTCCTAGTCAGGTGTACTTGACATCTTGTCCCAGTTATCTGAGTACTTTTCATGGAATATAGCACTGTTTGTGAAATTCTTCCAGATTAGTGGGATTCTACATGGCAGTTCAATGATCTAGTCTGGGAGCTGCCTCAGCTGAGTTGACCAATAGGCAGGCTCTCCTGCCAAAGGTCATGCAGGAAATGGTAGAGATTGGTTGTGACTGACACCTGAGGGCAATATAGAAGGAACAAACAAAAGACAGGAATTTCAAACTTGGTTGGAATTCATGTCGACAATACTGTACTCCTGTTCATCAAAATTCATCTCAAGTCGTCACAGGTCCATCATAGACAACTGATATGAAGTAACTTCACAAGGTATTCATCCCATGTTGTTTGTAAATGGTCTTGTAAAAGGACTCAAGATTTCTCGGTTGCCAGAGCTGTAAACAGTTGAACCTCATTAGAGGTTGTTGGTGTAATGTACTCGTGTACTCAGGCGTAGATTCAGAGGCAGTGCTTTATTGTGCGTTCCACACACGGCATGTAAGTACATGTCCGGGAGCCTCAAAATGCCATATATGACATCTCCCTTTTTTTATCAAAAAACAAACAGTAGTAAACAGTAACGTTATATCTAGAACTTTAAACTGTGGAAACCTTTCCGGCAAACACCTAAATTGAGAAGTAACATCTGCGATTCAACCAAAAACATGTATGGGCTGTGGTAATGTGACAATCTATCAACGAGCCGAGTTGTTCTGGATGAGATGCACTATAAACAACTATACATGCATGTATGCTTACGTTTGTGGTGGAGCTTGGGATTGGGTATTATATTGTGTGATCTATTTCAAAGCACATATAACTGTTTATGAAAGGCTTAGATTGGAGTGTTAAAGTCCAGTTCACGAGTCCATGCGGGTAGGTGGCTGGACAATTTGTCCACTTCTGGTGACATAGGGTGGCTTTGAGGGCTGACGTCTTGAGGTGCTGGTTGTGGACTCAGGTCAGGTTTATGGGTCTGGTGAGGGGTACCTGTAGTCATCTTGGGTTTCAGCAAAGGTTCGGGCTCAGGGTCTGGGATGACTGCCAGTGGTGGTTGTTGGTTTGCCACGTGGGTGAAGAGATGAAGATGTCATTGATTGCGTCGGTATTTGCACCCTCGGTACTCCACTATGTATGATCGTGGGGATTCGTGATGATCTACCACAGTGGCAGGAACCCACTGCTTGGCACCTGGAAATGGTGCCATCCTAACGGCATCTCCAGACTTCAGTGGCGGTAAGTCATGTGCCTTTTGGTTGAAGTAGTGTTCCTGTTTGCCCTTGGCTTGTGCAAGGCGGCGCTGTATGTCTGATGCCTTGTGTGTCTTAGGACGAAGTAGGGTGTGTGCAACAGGTAGCTTGTTTCGAGGTCTGCGACTCATAAGGAGTTGAGCAGGCGAGAGATCACAGCTTGCGAGCGGGGTCGTACAGTAGTCAAGCAACTCTAGATGTCTGTCACTAGTTTTCTTCCACAAGCGCTTGACCGTCTGAATGGCATGCTCACCTTCCCCATTGGACTGAGGATGAAGAGGTGAGGCGGTGACATGGATGATCTGGTAGTCCTTGCAGAATGTGTCAAAAACAACGGATGAGTATTGTGGACCATTGTCAGTGCGCAGCTTCTCAAGAATGCCATGACAGCTAAATTGAGACTTCAAGGCTTGTATGACTACTGCGCTGTTGCTGTCTGTAAGCTTGTCGACTTCGATGAATTTGGAGAAGTAGTCTACGATTAGAAGATACTGGTGGCCTTTGAACTGGAATATGTCAAATCCCAGCTCAATCTAAGGGAGATCAGGTACCTTTGTGGGTTTGAGTGTCTTGGAAGGCTGCTGATTCTGGTGCTTGCTGCAAACTCTGCAATCTGCAACAATGTCCTCTATCTGATGAGTCATTCCGGGCCAGAACATGGCTTCACAGGCTCTCTGCTTGCATTTGGCTATACCCATATTTGATTCATGGGTCAGGGCAAGCATGTCCTTCCTCATGCTGGGTGGGACAACAATTCTCATGCCTTGTAGACGACTCCATCTGAGAATGCGAGCTCATCTCTGGTGTTCCAGTACTCGCGAACGGCATGTGGTGTCTCCTGTTTGGTATCGGGCCAGTCTTTCCGGATCATTGTGGATAGCTCATTCAGTTCGTCTGCAGTTTTCTGCTGGAACTCATTGTAGCGTGTTGGTGTTACTGAGATGTAGTCTCCCATGTTGATGATGACTGGCTTGATGACAGGTTCTGTGTCTGGCAGGTTAGCTCTGCTGAGTAGGTCTCCGAGCCAGATCTCTTTTCTGGGCTTGTATGTGACGAACAAGTCATATGGTTGTAGTTTAAGGAGCATGGACTGCAACCTCATTGGAGCTGACAGGAGAGATTTGGAGAAGATTGCTTGAAGTGGACTGTGGTCACTCTCAACCGTCACGGTCTTGCCAAAGACGTAATGATGGAATTTCTCGCAAGAGTGGGCAATTGCAAGCATTTCCTTCTCTATGTGAGCATATTTAATTTCTGTTGGTGTCATGGCTCTGGAAGTGTATGCTATTGGCTTGCCTTCTTGGAGTAGAACTCCACCAAGAGCATAGCTACTGGCGTCATATTGTATTGTTATCTCTTTGTGGACATCATAGTATGCCAGAACTGGAGCTGCACTGCAAAGCTCTTTGAGTTTGGCAAAGCTTTGCTGCTGTGGTTTGTCCCAGTGGAACTTCACGTCTTTCTTCATCATTTGACGAAGTGGCTGATCAACCTCACTGAGGTTTGGGATGAACTTTGCCAATTACTGGATGCAGCCAAGAAATGTTTGGACGTCCTCTTTTGGGGACTCGGGCATCTCTCTCATCGCTTTGACCTTATCAGGGTCAGGCTTCAATCCACTGGCAGTGACAAGGTGACCAACATACTTTACTTGTGTCTGTCTGACATGGCACTTGTCAAAATTGAGCTTTAAGTTCCACTTGGTTGCTCTGGTGACAACAGCTTTCATGATCTGATTGTGGGTTTTTTGATTCTTGCCTGCAATCAGGATGTCATCTATAATAGCCGTGCGCCATCTACACCCTCCAGCATGGTGTCTATGGCTCGTTGGAAGATTTCCTGTGCACTCTTTATGCCAAATGGAAGACGTAGCCATCTGAAACGGCCAATGGGCGTATTAAATGGCGTCAGAAGGCTTGACTTGTAATCAAGCTCAATCTGCAGGAAGCCGGACTTGGCGTCTATAACTGAGAAAACTTTGGCATCTGGCATAGATGCCAGTACTTCTTCGACAGATGGGAATGAGTAGTGTTCTCGACGGATCGCCTTATTGAGATCCTTTGGGTCGGAACAGATTCTCACCTTCCCATTTTTAACCATGACGACCATGGAACTCACCCAATCTGTTGGTTCCCTGACTTTCATGATATGCTTGTCACCCTCCATTTCCTGTAGCTTCCCGACAATCTTTGGCATGAGGCCCTGTGGCTGGCATCTGGGGCCATGCACTACTGGCTTAACTGATAGGTCAATTTTCAAGGAATATTTTCCTGGAAGAGTACCAGTGGTCGTCTTAAGCTCGGGGTACTGCTCCGGCCCATAGACTCTGTCTTTGAGTCTAAGTTGCTTGCTGGCATCTCCACTGAGAAGTAGTGGTTTGCTTTCTGCCTGTACGACGTAGTATGGCACATCGATGCACACATTTTTGTGGCATGTAGGCAGCGTGTGCGCCCTTCGACTTTCAGTTGCTGGTGTATGACTCAAACTTGCAGTCACTTGGGCTCAGCTCTTTTGTGCCTTCAAGTGTTTGGTAGATGTGGAGTGGCATAATGGACTGCGCTGCTCCAGGGTCAATCTGCACCTCTATTTTTCTGTTGTTGATCGAGACTTGTTCGTACCACTCTTTTTGAGTCTGATTCATCATCTAATGCATTGATGAGGTGAGTGTATTCTTCTTTTGAAGAAAACTCATCACTTTCTGTTGTTCCTTGGGCTGTGGCACCTTCCATACTGTGTGCTGCAAGACACTTTCGGCACACTGATGCAAAATGATTAGGCCCCTTGCAAAAGTCACAGGTTTGGTTTTTTGCGGGGCATTTTCGGGGGTCTGCTTGATATCCGCATATGTGGCATTTCTTTGAAGGACCAGCTTTGGCCTCTGATCGCCTGGACTTTGTTTGGTTTGAACTGCCCTTCTCATGGCTAAGCCTTTGCTGTGGGTGTGATTTAGCACGACTAATTTTTTGGAGCGATTCGCTGACTTTATCACATTGACTTTGCAATCTTCTTCTTTGTTTATTTCCTTCAGGTTCTGTTATGAAGTTTCGTAGTTTGACCAATATTGATGGCCATGGCAAGTGTCAGCTTGTCTCCTTTCTCCAGGCATTTCTCTTGAACCGCATGATTTAGTACCCACAGGACTATGGCATCTCGAATCATGTGTTCTTCATCGTCGTACCCACAGTCTTTCACTAGCACTCACAGGTCAACGACAAAGCTGTCAAATTTTTCCCGTTCTAGTTGAAATTTATAGTGGCACGAATTTGATTTTTTCGTGGGGCCACATATTTCTCAAACTTGGCACAAACTGCCTCTAGCTTGTCACACTCATCTGGAGTTTCCACTTGAAAGTTGTGTAGACTTCCCTTCCTTTGTCTCCGACGTAGGTCGTGAAGTAATTGACCTTTTTTACCTCTGACTTTTGAGCTAGGGGACCCTTGAATGTGAATGTGCAATGCTGACCAGTTCATGCACAGTTTTTGTGTCAATTTTCACATGTCTCTTATCGGCCTCCGTAGTTTCGTTGACGAACGTAGGGCAAGTGCAGCTTTTTTTTTTGGAACACCAAATCTGATCACTTTAACAGCAATTCTCCTTATGACAGTGTTACCATCAGCTTCGGAGGTTCTTGGTGACAGTTTCTTTGTGTGTCGAAACAGTCTTACGAGAGTTCGTTGCACTGTAACGATGTGTGATATTTTATCACAAAACTGATTCGGTCCTTCAGCAATGTACTCGTTGCCGTGTGGTCGGTGTGCAAAATTCGGCCTTTTTATTTATGAGTTTGAGTGACCGTAGTCTGAGGTACCCACTCATTCACCGACTTCTGAGACGTTGCTTTCTTACTGCTAAATGAGTTCTGGTCAATTGCCTTTCTCATTTTGCTCAGTTTGGGACTCCCCACTTCTGACGCCATGTAATGTACTCGTGTACTCAGGCGTAGGTTCAGAGGCAGTGCTTATTGTGCGTTCCAGACACGGCATGTTAATACATGTACGGGAGCCTCAAAATGCCATATATGACAGTTGGGACCTTGTGTGGATTACTTGGTAGGAACCTTGTATTATCAGGAACCAAAACAATAAAGATAAAAGGATTAAGACCTCAAACCTTCCTTGTTATGAGCAAAATGTGTATTAAACATGCTCTTATTAACAATGTTCAACTATAAATGACCTTCGATGTGTATCTGTGCTGAGAGTTCATTATCGGCCACCTGCTGACGCGATTAAAAACTGGAAAAGTAGTCTGTTTTTTCCCTAGTGCAAGATACCATTCCTGCAGCAATAGCCTTAGGTAGTGACTTCACACAAACCTTGTAAGGAGTAGGATTGAGTTCACGTTTGACATCGGACCGAAGTGCTTGCATGCCCTGTTTGACGTTGTCACGGATCTCTGACAGAGTCGGTAATGCCTGACAAATCTGGAAATGTATAGAGTGGGGAAAATTGTTTCAAGATGGTTTAAGGAACCGTGTGCTGAATGGGCCAGGTACAAAACTTTAGCCAATGAACAACTATACAAATTACTTATAATTGATTAGCTTCCAATGATTTAAATTTAAATGAACTTCAGTTTTCCAAAGCTACTCATTTTCTTACTTGTCCATCTTTCATGTACAGCTTGTGCAGTTTCTCTACTTTGGATGGTTGGACATTTACTCTTCTCAGTGCCTGTAGTCATAAGTTAAATCAACAGGATTATACATTTAACTCAAATTTGATTTACATTTCTATAGGAGTCTACAGAGGAGTTTTTGCAAGCTACAAGAAGCAATGAAACAATTCTAAATACCTACCTCAAATGGATGACGACAAAGTACAACTTTCTGCTCCTCAGGTTGTGGCTCCGAGGACTGGGCCATTAGATCCGCAATAGCTAAGCCTGTGTGATAAGTTTCAATTGAGAATGAAAAAGTTTCAAAGTTGATAAGATCCTAGACTTGACTCAAGTCAGGATCTTCCGTGACCTTGTCTGTGTTCATGCTTTGGAAATGGAGGCTGTGCGTTGTTTCTTGCTTCGCACCCTCTTGTGTCCACTTATTACTTAGAGTTCAGAAATCCAGACTTGACGAATCTGCCAGCCATTTGTACACAGTGAATCAGCTCATCTACCAAAACATGTAGCAGCCAATCAAATTGCTGGACTTGTTTTTACATCGTTCATACCTCTGTTATAATGAACTAATCTACAAGTCTGACTACTTTGAGTGGTAGAATTTCCAAGTCTGACTACTTTGATTGGTGGAAATTCTGTATACATTACGCAAGATCAAGTCTTTCATATGCAATTATGAATAACTATATAATTATGAACAAGAGGGGGTCTGATTGGCTTAGGTCAGACTTACTGACTGGTGACACACGTACAATCTTTAATGTTGATGCTGGATATTGCAGAAAAGCTGTCAAATGAGGGCGCCTTATAAGAAGTTATGCATGTACTGTGTTTGTGAAGGGATGGCTGACTGGGGAAGAGCAACATATGAGAAGTCTGACTTGATTCATGTCTAATAAGATCCAATTGCTTGAGAGATTGGGGCCCTCAACAAATTTCACACAAATGGAACTCAACAGGCACTGTTGACATGCTTGGACCAGAATACATTAGCATCAGGCATGTCAGGGTGTCAAACGGGGGTGTTTTGGGTTCAGGTTTCATGCGCTCATCAAGGCCTGAAGTTTAAGCTTCGATTACAAATCGACCTCTCTAAAAGGCTTGAAGGACTGCTGTACCAACCGTCTGCTCCATAGAGACGGAATGCCGTCTTTCTGCCAGGAATGGTGACTTTGTCAACGTCATGGCTCAGTTTGATGCATGGGTTGTTGTCTATCTGGACCAACTGCAAAGCAGTAAATGAGAGACATGTGAAGTCCTGAGGAGTTTGTCGCCTTTACAAAATAAGAATCTCCCATTCAAGTTCTCGCTGCCCTTGCCATTGGTTGCTATCTTCTTAATGACCTTGTTATGAATACACAATTACTTTTCCACTATCTTTTAGTCGTTCTCTACAATCATTTACCAGTGTGATCATCCCAGATGTCTCTTCTGCGCAGGTGTCCCACTACAATTACCTTTTCCTCACCTTAAAGACACACCCTAGTGCTGGCTGCTTCTGACATGTCACAAGGTGGGTTCCGATTCCAAAGGCGTCAATTGCGTGGCCCTGAACGAAGGTAGAAATTTCACAAATCTATTTTTTGGTTTGAGAACACAACCCTTCAAAAAAATAATGGACGACTGACAACTCTGCAAAAGTAGAAGTCAATAACAATTAACAAATGTCTTGTTTTCTAATGCATCAGTGAAAAGAAAAGTAGATTGGCTAAAAACAGATGAGCAATTGTCACTTACCACTGTTAAATTCAAGTCCAGGAACTTAGAGGCTCAGCAAGGCTGAGTCCAAATCTTGGGTCTCCAAGGCCAAGACCGAGTCAATGCCATTCAAAGCCAAGGCCAGTTATTACACATGCATGATAACACCACTCTACACGATTGAAGGTGATTTTCTCTATTTTTAGCAACGCTTGCTGGCACACAAAATTCATACAGATTCACAAAAGAACCTGTGTGTACATGACAAGACAATAATTATCCCTACTCGTTTCATGCAAGAAAAAATAACCAAGCGCTATGCATCATAAATTAGTTACTTTCGGTATAATATTGTGAACAACCTTGTCAACAAATTTGAATGGGTGTAATTATTTCTCGTTTGGCAGGTGTTGCAAAGCTCAGTTTTTAAAAAACCTTTGGGAAAAGTAAACACTAGGAATATCAAGTCAAACGGGTGGCCTCCAACCAACCTCGACTGATTCGTTGAGTCCAGAGGGTGCTAAGGCTCAGGCCAAGACTGAGTCATTATATAGCAAAGCTGAGGCCAAGACCAAGGCTTTCAGACAAAGGCCTCAAGGCCTCCAATACTGTCACACCATAGATTCCCTTTACATGTATTTTTACAGAATAAATATTACATTTTGAAGAAATCTTTTCCTTCAGGTAGTAAAAGGCTCCGATGTGCCTCTGTGAATGCTTTTAACATAGTATTTTGAGTTCTAATTCAAACTGACCTGTTGCTGGAGTGATAGTAAGGTATCCTCATTGATGTCATTACTCGCAACGATTGTCAGATCTTGGAACCATGGTAACCCGAATCTGAAATTCAAGGTTAAACCAACTGCCAAGTTTACAACACAGCCCCAAAGGTCTGAGTCTCCATGTGCGAACTTCATGAGCAAAGTTATAAAAGGGTGAAACAAAACAGGATTTTGAAGGATGAAAGAATAAAGCTACTCACTTGTGAGCAACTTTCTGGAAAATTTTCCTGATCTCTAGAGACTGGTAGGCCAAGTCTCCACTGTCAATGCGTATCCCGGTGGCTCTATACCCAACGTCATGGAGGGCAAGTGAGACAGCACAGAAGTTGGCTATTCCACTTCTGTAAAATTACAAAGGAAGAATGAAAACTAGCTGGGTATACTACAGGGTCGGAAAATTCAATCGGTGGAGCAATGGTAATGCATTTGGAATGTCAATGGCTCGAATCCAGTTCTACCCAATCGACTTACTTGAGCACATCATAGGTGTCTACCAGCATCAGGAAGGAGTCTGGAAATGCCACAGCATACGCAATAAATGAGGCCAGCTCTCCAGCGTTTGTATCTCTCAGGCCTAGCAACTGGCAGACTCTGTCTAGCCAGACTAGGGAGCTGGCAGCGAGATCGACTGGGTCCCTGGTCGAGTCTTTAGGTAGCAGCATCTGTAGCAGAAGCCATCAACAATATTCAGAGCAAGAGATCTTCCACATCTACTTGTGGACAGTAAGTTTCAAAGTTTGCAACAGCAAAATGCAAGCAGTCCATGACTGAAGTACAGCAAAAGCAAGGTCTGTCAAGCACCACAAATAATCATAGTTTGTCTGACTACAAGAAATAATCAACAGTGGTTGAACTAGTCTATTCATGTATTCGGGACAAGCTTTCTAAGCTGGAGAGCCAGGAATCTGAGTTGCCATGTTCGCATCTGACAACAAGAAGATATATTCACACTTACATGTACATTAGCGAGGTGTGTCGTGGATGAACCATAAGTTGACAAATGGTCACCCAATTCATCTAAAAAACTTCAAAACGTACAGCTGGAAGTCCTGACCATGCAGTTTTTCTTGATATGCTAGGATAAAGAAAATGCTTACCTTGTTTTCCAGGTCATCAAGGCTACGGTAGGCCATGACCAAGGCATGTGCGTTAGTTCCTCGAAGTGGAATGTTGTATAACTTCCCTGCTAAGACATTACTTGTGGCGTCAAACCCTGCCACAAAAGCAAGAAAACATGACAATCACTGTTGTTGAACTTGAAACGATGCACAAAACAGTTTATCTTTGAGTGTCATATTTGGCATTTGGCAAAGTACACGTAGGGTGCCCAATCCATCAGCAAAGACCCAAAATATATGAAAAGATTTGAAGCGTGCTCATCAGGGGTTGGCCTGGAACTGTTGCTCACCAAAGCATAACCACTTTTCTTCATGGGCAGAGAAAGGATAACAAAAAATACGTCCTTGTTTTTGGGTAGAAGCCGTATTTCAATAGAAAAGCTAAACAACAAAGAAAACACAGGTAGATGGTCATCAATCTGAACTGCACCTTCCGGTCATTTATTTATGAATACCCTTTCAATACAGTTTTCCACCATCCAACACCGTGCATTTATACCTACATGCATTGTTGGGAGAAAAAAAATAAAAACACATTGTAGCAAAGGAAAAAAGGAGGCCAGTGAGGAAAAGGGAAACAGGTGCTGATGAGATACTAGTCTTTTTGTTGGACTGATGATTTCAGAGCATTTGAGGACTCAGAATAAGACCTAAAGAAAAATGGCCAGAGATTCTCCAATGTACATGTAGGGAATCAAAGACCAATCTACATCACCTCCAATGTAGCTGTATTTGCTGGCTGAAAGACCTCCATCAGGCCCTTGTGCCCGACGCAGGCCAAACTCCAGCAGACGCTTGTTGGGTCCAGTAGCCAGGCGAAATCTTGCTGCATTGGTTGCTACCAAACTGGATAAAGCAAGACTTGAATTAAGCAAACTACTCACAAAAAGAAGAATATATTGTTTAAAAGCAGCAGTTACATGTACAGTAATATGTTGCTTACACACTGATTGCCAAACTGTGCATGAATTATTATATAACTATGTTTATACTGATAATACTGATTAAAATACACTGATTAAAATATCTCAAGCAAAGCAAGAATAAAAAAATAAAAATGTCAACAGACAGAAGAATAAGATCCATAATTCCTGGTTTGTGACTGGAAATTAAATTTTTGGGAAAAGTTCTTTTGTCACTATTCTGGCAACGTGGATCAACTGAAAAACCAACTACAGTGCATGGGGGGAATTTCCAATCCACACAACGCAAGTTCTTTCTTTGTTCACATTAAAAAAACTTTTTTTAATTTTCAAATGATGCATGCCCCATTGAGTGACCTCTAAAAGTGGGAAGTGCACATTAAATTTGCATCTTCAGATGCCCCCTACCCTCCAGAAATCACTGCTCAGAGGCATCCGATCTTCTAACGAACCTGGCATAGTTGATAAGGTTCAAGAGTGTGGTCTCCAGCAGTTGTACCAGCGGCAGGGGTCCCTCGATTCTCAGCAGAGGCACCCTAGGGAAGACCACTGAGCCCTCATTGAAAGCGTACACCTCAACTGTTGAGCAGTCTAACCTGGACAAGTAGTCAAAGAAGTCCACTTCGGTGGTGGGCGGCAGCACAGTGCGTAAAAATGCAATGTCTGTGGAGTTGAGAAAAATAAACAAGCTCTATAATATGAAGGGACACGTTGGCTAACTGTTGTAGAAATTTTGTACTTTCCGAAACTGCTGTCTATGGACAAATCAGCCACATGTTAGTGGTTACATGAAGATCCATCCCTTTTTATTGCTATTTCCAAGTTGGCATTCCTGTGTTAAATGAATACATGTCGATCTACCTGAAAGCTTATCAAGGATAAAATAGGAGTATTTTGGGTAAGCTATATAATGCCCTGATGAAAGGTTGGACATTTCAACCAGAGGAATTGCTACATGTACATGTATAATCTCAAAAATAAACTAAAAGAACTTCCATGGGAATGATCCTTTGATCATTGCCTAGATTACACGAAACTGTCACAAAAGATTGACTGGTGAGCTTGCTTTGCCCTTCCCAAACAATTCAGCCATTGCATTATGGGGTATGTTGTGTCTTCTGGATACCTGTGGGCAACTCTGGACACCCCTTTCTGTTATGAAATGTGCAAGTGAAATCTACAAGTACAAAATCTCAGCAGCTTGGTCCTTCAATTTAAGGAAAACATGGCCACCAAGTTATTGACTCCTGGCAAAGACCAAGCCCCCCATCATGAATAGCCTACCAGATTCTGTGAACCGGAAATTCTTCAAGAACCTCAGGCACTCCTCGAGGCCAGCAAAGATGGTAAACTCGCCCCGGAAGGGGTTCTTGCGGAAGAACAGATCAAAGATGGCTCGGCTGTCCATCCGTCCACTCTTCCAGTAGGCATAGGCCATGGTGACCTGGTACAGGTCGGTCAGCAAGGCCTGGATAATCCCATTGGATTCCTGACCTGACTCCAAGACAGTGGCATTGTTGTTGATGTTGGACGAGCTGTGCTGGTTCAAGGCCATAGTCTACAGAAAATAAAAATCAATGTCTATCAAAATGTCCAGATGGAGACTACATTTACATTTATAAGCAACTTTCAAATTATCAAAAATTGATTTGTGGCATTTGTTAATTGTTTTCATCATCATCATTACTGCATGAAATGACCTATCTACATGTACACAGCAGCGGATAGGAACATGCTACATACTGATCAAGGGAATTCTCTCTCTCTCGCTCTTCAATGGACAACTCACCAAGGACAGTGAATTCCACATGCAGGAAACTGTGACTCACTTACATGATTTATACATCATGTACATGTTTTGGGTAAATAAGTGATGAAACTGATGATAAGGATGATTTCCTCGACCGTTTTCTTCTTTGAGTAACTCACCATGCTCACATAATTATGGACATGATACACCTCACACTCACATTAGCCTATGAATGCAGTTCATAATACATGGAAAGAGTTCCATATACAACACTTGATGCCCATTGTCTCCAAAAATCTAAGCAGCTAAGTGTTTTCTTAGTAAATGCTTCCAGGACAAGCAAGATCCCAAGGCAAGACTTGGGATATACAAGATCCCTTTTGAATGCAGCAAAGTACATACAAGGGGAAACTGCCAAAGATTTCAACACAGGATTAAATGAAACATAATTGAGGCCCATAGCGGACAAGGCGAGTTTGACAAGTCATCCATGGTTAAGCATTCGCACTCCGAAGACCACATCAACTGGCAGCAGGCTGAATAAATAACAGCACTGGTACCCACGCCGCATAAGACAGGCCATAGAAATCTTCATGCACAGAACGGTCCTTCAAGACAAAGAACTCACCACCAGTGACATCTTGTGTCCCATCCCTGGCAGTCCGCCCAGTGGGTCATCTATACCCAAGGGCATCCCAGCACCCTTCCCAAAGTACAGTATAGCTCACCATGCCTCATGTATTGATCTAATTTCACAAACAATAGGATCAGCATCATTGCCCGAGGTTCTACTCTTTTGCACATATGATGCACAATGTGTGGCAAACGCGGCCCCACAGTTGTGTAGGAATCTTTGGAATTCCTTTCAGATTTTCAGGGGGGTGCAGTAGGCACAATAGCCTTAAGGTATATAGCTTACACATCACATTAGGGGGGTTCCCCTTTGCCACAGATTGCGATGGGTATCCTTTTGCAGGTCGACCTCTTTTGAGGGGGTCCCAAACTTTACAAATGCCTTGTAACACTGCAGAGCCAGGATCCAGAAACCAAGGCTGCACTCCAGTGAGCACCAATAGGCTCCATTCCAACATGATCATGATGACTCAGCGCAGTTATCCCCCTCCTGCAATCCTTCATACACTTCACCTCCAGTATTCACCTGCTGACGGGCAGCGCATACTGCCTGAAACGTACATGTAGCTCAATTGAGTGGAGCGTTACTACTCTTCTTTTTAAAAATTTTGTATTGGATCGGTCTTCCGAAAAAGAGGAGTTGGCCTACTACCGCTCCACTCAGTGGAGCTACCCAAAACATAGAGTTACTAGTTCTACTCAGAACCAACACTTACGAATAGAGATAATTATGATGGTGTAACCGTAAACCTAACTAATTGATTTACGTTTTAGGATATGTTATCACTTTCTGATGGCTGATGTAACATTTTAAGGGAAAAATTAGTGTCATCTGTACTCCGTATAGGGCCTGTGGAACTCTTTCCCAATCGACCACTCCACTCATTCATGGTGCTCATCTGCTCATCAATGACCAATTCATTCCCAACAAACATGACAAAGGACTGACATGACTGAGAGATCATACTGTTGTTGAAGTGCATGATGAATGAATACTCAGAATAGTATTCTTACCATGATTACACCAACTTTAAAAATCACTTGTTTCTGGCATAGTTTTACCCTAAAACTCCTCCCACCCATAAATTTGGCCGATCAAAAACTTACGCCTATGCAAAATCTGTGTCTGACGAAAATGATGAGTGAAACGCCTTCCCGAACGTGTATCCGCTCAAGTTTCTGTACAAGTTACAATTACACACAACGAGGCATCCGCCGTGTTTTCCAATTCCATGCAATGTTTACCTTGGAAAAGTCGGGCAGCTCAGTCAGTTTACCTGAGAATACCCTACAAAGCACATGCAGACGCCTGGGAAGAGGACACGTAGTCCAATTTACTAATTCAAGTGACAGTTTCGGGGGAACTTATTAGCATTAAATGTGCCCCCCACAGTATCTTTTGAAAAAGGAGATTGTGTGACCCCCAAAATGGAGAAAGTATGTAAACCTTGGCGAAAATTAACTCCCTTGGTCTTAGGGCTCTCATCTGAGAGCAGAATGGCTAAAACATTCGGTTGAAAAATGATCCTTTGTGCCACAAGGTGTAGATTGCCACTTGAAAAATGGCCGCAAGCAGACTTCGGGAAAAATCACTTTGGGGGAGGGGTAATTTTGATTTGTGAGAATAACTAAAAATGTTTTCAGTCAACCCACAGAAAATTGCAAACAAATTCACAGATTATGGACCATAAAATTATTTAACATGTGTTTCAGAAACCTTGGTATGTTGGTAAACATTTTATTGGGCTCTGAACAATGTCGATTTTACACCGTTTTCAAAGGGGCTCGAATTAGTGACACCCATATACATAAATATTTATGTCTGTGACTACACCCAGCACGTCTGGAAAGCGCCCCCTTTTGAAGAGACCATAGAGATCGTAAGTAGAACTGGGACGTCGGGGTGGCGTAGTTAGCTAGGATTTACTGGTTCAGTGGGGTACAAAGGGGCCCCAGCATCTTGGGGGGGGGGCACCAGCTTTCAGTGGTGTGTCTTTTTGGGCAAGTTTTTGTTAGCCTTGCTCAGTATCCATTCCTCCGTTTTTTTCAGTGGAGGGGGGCACCTGGGGAACCGGGAATTTTTTTTGGGGGGGGGGGGAACATGCCCCCCAGGCCCCCCGGCTACGCCACTGGTCCCATTAGGCACAAACATCTTGGAACCACGCCGACGCCTCCACGTATGCATGAAACGCGTACAAGTGCATGAGATGTGACGAACACTCGAACACTATTTTTGCCTCACGTACCTGCGTATGCGGCCACCACTCGCCCGTCTCCGGTCTTCAAGCCTTAAAAAGCAGCATTTGGAAGCCAAGGAAACAAAACTGTGGGTTTCTTTTTCCAGCAGAATCTAGGAGGAGGAAGTGTATGGATTATCTCGTGAAGATTTCTGAAACGTTTTCCTTTATTGTAGAAGTTTTCTGTTGCAGATCCAGCACCCATAAGCTGTGGCGATAATGTTTAAATTGGACCACAGTTTAATATTGCCAATTTTAAAAAATATTTTAGTGTCACCGTGATCTGTTGGTCTTTCGAGACACAACAAAAACGAAATTCTGCACAGCCAACAAGGTTTCAATGTGTATGAGAGTGGGCGGCTTGGTTTTTGAGTGGGTGTTTGGGTGGCTGGGTGGAGCTAGCTTAGGCCAATGTGTGAGTTTTTTTTATTTGTTTTATCATGGTGAAGTCGAGTCTTTGCACAGGGCAGTGAAATATTTGTGGCTGTCGACCTACAGTGAAGTTAAGTTAATAAATGTTCAACGTCACCAATTTGAATCGGTATATAAAAAATCGAAACGAGTGATTAGGCCTACTTCGTGAGGACAGATTATAAGGTCATTTTTTTTTTCATCAGACGCACCCGGATACGCCTCGGTATAGTTTAAATAAGAATAGTTTTTGTTGCGGTCTAAACCACCTTCTTTCATTCTGTACAAAAGCTGTAGGACCTATATATAGAGTGGATGAAAACCTTTTTAAAACTCGGTACATGTTTTCAGTGACTCCTTTCTTTGCAGGTATGCTTTCTCCTTCATTTTGCTTATTCGTGCATGGCGCCATTTCTTTTGAATTTCGCTGACCGTCCCGTTGGACAGAAGGAAACTGTGCATTCAGCATATCGGTAATTTCTTACCAGGCATCATGCTTGGCAGCTGCTGTTCTTTTCGCAGAAAATTTGGGCCGGAGCACTTCTCGCCCTCTTTCCCATTCAGCTAGAATGGTCAAGTTTTCATTCTCAGAAAAGTTAGGCTTTCTTGACTGCTTACCGTCTTTGGGGGCCATTGTTATAAATTATTAAACTGAGACGAAGCTGTTCAATTATCAATTATATAATTTTCACAATCAAACGGTTGCGATCAAATTAATCTAGTTGAATCCGCGCGTCAGTGCAACAGCGATTTCAAAATATTTATTGGGATTTCAATGCGTCTTGCGTCTAAACGCTTCCATGGGAGAGGATCGCGTACCAAACGCGAATTTTATTTATTTGGGTTGTAATTTGTAGATGCAATGGTGTAATTCGACCACCTGAAGCCATCACTGCGGTGGCACAACGCTCGTGGACAAGTGGTACTTGCGCGTTACATGCCTCTTTGACCAACTGGGTATTGTGATTTGCCAAATGTACGCGTGCGTCCAGCTGCGGGATGTGCGTGTGAGTGGGGTGCCACCGCAGTTATGGCGTCTAATCGGATTAGTCTATAGGCTTAAAAATGATGAGCCAAAAAAAGGGGGGAAAAAGCAGCTTTGTAACCTGTCTGCATCCGTCCGGAATCTTAATTGATTGATTGGCAATGGACACTAAGCGACCATTGTTGATAAGTGATTTATGCGCACGAGCAACAGAAATATTTACTTATGGGACTTACGTGCAGCACTGACATAAGTAGGATGCTTAGTTTTTTCGTGGATCTCAAGTTGAGCGCCCCACTTAAGTTAGCAGGGTGCTTAGATTTTATTTGCGACTTAAGTTTTTCTTAAGTACGATTTGTGAATATGGTCCCTGACCACTCCAGCTTTCGTATAATCTCTATGGATGAGACTAAGTTCTTTAACACGGCGCAGCCACCTCAATCACGTCAAAATGGTGATTATCCCAAAATCGCATTCTGAGAAAATTAGAATGCGCCATCCTTTTGAAGCACGTATTTCAAAGAAAAATATCAAAGGAAAGTCAGATCGATTTGCCACAAATGTATCACGTGGGAGAGTTTTAAAATATTTTCACTCTTTGCGGTCATTTTTACACCAATTTTGAAAAATTGAACATACGGTTGTTACTCAGCGCCCATTTTCCAAGACACACGGTCAGCAAAAAAAAATTCTTTTTCCGTTGTGGGGTTTAAATAATGCACGCGGACTCGCACACGTACTTGAACTTCAAAATGGCTGTAACAACAAAACCGTATGTTTGATTGAGTTCAAACCTTCACTTTGTAATGATAAGTGAGAAGTATTTTTACAGTCATACCAGGTTTCAAAGGAATTGAGCGTAATCGGCCCCCTCCCGAGCTGTGAGATGGGCCCTAAACCCGGGTATCGGTTTAACAAAACCATCCCTGATTAGGTAACTGTTGAGATGTACCGCACCTGCACGTACATGTAAGGTCGCACTACACAAAATACACGCCCGCAGAAAACAGTACAAAATTGGACCGAAATAGCGCCGCCTGTTGACTCTTGTGAAGAGGTTGGCCTCCGTTTTTTTTTCACTGGAAATTCAAATTATGGCTGGAAGATCTCTTTTCAGTCGTTTCAGTTTCATGGGGGTAAACCACAAATTATTCGCCTTTGAACGAAGATACCCCCAAAATAGCAGTAAAACTAAGCGCTCATTTCTGAATGTAGCCACCCACCTCTGTCCAAAATAGGCCAGCAATTTTTGGGGCTTTTTGTGAAAGAAGTTCCCCGAACTGGAAACTATCAGACCTAAATTCGGGATTTATAGACATATTTCTGTGATGCCTCCTGATTATGGCCTGTCTTATTGTAAAAATCCCGTGGAATGACAAAATATTAATGAGCTCACTCGCAGAAATACAACCATTTGGTGGAATGCACCCATAAATACTTTTAGAAAGTCAATATTTTCATGGCAGATGTATGACAATATGAGCCGCTTTATCCTGACACACCTTTATGCAGAAACTATAGTAGGTCCCTTCTGTCACAGAAATCTTCGAAGGAAAGTGGGAAAGTATTGAATATATTTTTTTCATAGCAGCTGCTGTCTTTCGAACGATAAACTGTATGATCTCAGGACTTTGAAAGCAGCGCCTATTTTCCCAAGCCAGTGCATTAGTCCCCATCGTACTTACCGGGAGGAGCCAAAGCTGGCAACTGCAATTTGGAGATCATTCTTCCTCAAATGAGACAGTTAAGATAACGTCATTCGAGAACGTTGAGCCCACATTGGCCTGCTGCCGTTTACCAGCGGGGTAGCCGTCGGTAAATAACTGGGCATTTCCAAATCCCCACTGAAGAAGGTTGCTTTACAGGGACGTTAAATCTATTAACATGGATTCTTTGAAAGCTGACCTAAATTTTTTTAAGCTGTGTATGGATATTCCTCAGGATCTCGAAGAACGTCTCAAGTGTTATAAAGCACGTTTAATACACCGGTGCCCCGTTGAACAAGAATGTCACTATTAGGCCCTGTCCACCTTGGTTGATTGAGTCAGCAGTGACACTGAGAAGAAAGGCAAACGGCGAACTAATAAGGCTTATGATCAATTGGACTATAAGATTCAAAAGATGGTTACTTCCTCTGTATGAAAAAAAAGCTTGTTGCGATTTTTACGAAGAATTTATAGAAGGTGACAGCTCCAATCAAGGGGAACTATTTAGAGCATCCAAAGACTAATGATAATCCCTTCCGACCTCTTACCAATGAACTGTCCCTTTGAAACGACTTTGCAAAATTAAACATGTTACATTTGATACTTTAGCATAAGTCATAACAAATGGGGCTTCTCATTCAGTGGCGGAATCACCAGTGTCATATAATAGCACTTTGTTTTACTAATTATTTTCCCCCCAATAAACTGAGACACAACTATAGGTGTAACAATTTGTCGTGAAATCAGCAAAGAAATCCTGTGCAGTAGGTCCGCCAATGCCTACCGTTGGTGAGTGACTGCCCTGATGTCTTGCTTCCAGTTATTACCAGAATTATCCATTCCTCTTTGGACTTTGGTGTATTTCCTGCGGATTGGAAAGAATCTTTGGTCTGTTCTTTAAAAAAAAAATACAATCTCGACCTGACCGTGTGCTTTCCATCATTTGTATGAAATTGACGCATTGTAAAGGTTTTATTATTATTACTGAACCGACCATACTCACGCAATAAATTATGGCCTGACGCAATGATGCCTTTATAGCATCATCATGCCGACTTCAAGGTGACATTGCCCGTTCCTAAACCCGTTCCTCAACTTCTACCCATATTTTGGCCCATATGCCAGCTTCAAAAATGCAATGGCCATGACATTTAAAACATACCGACTTCAAAATCCAATGACCCAACAATTTAAGAGAGTCTTTCCGGACTTCCACTCAACGTGCTGCTTCGAAGTTTAAGCAACGCTTCCCGCATCCGCCATGAGGACAACAAACACTCTACGCAGTAACCTATAGACCTGCAATAATTGATCTAGTCTTCAAACCTACAGGGACAGAACCAAGTCATACTGTAATTCACAGCAAAACAAAATATTTTAAATAAACGTTTGAACATTGTGATTAAAAAAAAGAAAACTTCTAATCTGCTTTTCGCTCCGCCCAAATCTTACAATAAACATTGCGCGGTACGATCTGAAATATAAACAGCAAAAACTTCTCCGGCAATGTAAGTAGGTCCCTCAACCGAATTTTTTTTGTAATCAAGTGATTTATACCGTAAAAATGTCTGACTTTCTACGTGGCTCTTCTGTGGGTTTTAAATGAATGCATTTTATGTTTGTAGTGTTTGCTAATTGTTAAGTGCTGTAGTACATGAGGGCGCTATTCATGTTGTCCATGAATCGCTCGGTACGTTGCCGCGTAGTAATCATGGTGTTTTGGACATGCTATGCGGGCACGAGAGATAGTGCCAGGTTTAATAATGCATTAATTTATAAAATGTTTATGTCTTGGTTATTTGATTTATAGATAAATGCACATGGGTAGATATTTAATAGTCCAGATCGATTAAGAGAGGGATTAAGTTGCAATTAGTTAAGCTCCAGTTTGTCCATGAATAAATAATCAGTTGCCAATCTGAAAATTTGTGAAGAGTTGTTATTTAACCGATTAACATTTTTCCTGAAGATTCTATCTCGTTAACATCCACCTGCATTAAATTCTACCATAGAGCGAGGAACAGAACCCTTCTTTGCGCTATGAAAAAAGTACACGTTCCTCATTCAGTAGCAAAATGATATAGTATGATAAGGCACTTTAAGCAAAATGATATGGCATGATAAGGTATATAAACGTAACATAATTTTTTGTTTATTTCGTGTTTGTTCCTCCATACGTGCTACCTCAGATTGTGTTACCTTCTGCTACCAGCTGAAAGGTGGTCTCACCGTACTGCGTTACACCAGTCGTAATGTAATGTAAGGTAAAGAAGACTGGCGTCTCCCGTTTTCGTGAGCATTGTAGGGTCCATCTTCTAGCATTCTTGCCAGCGTATCCTTGGGAATTTTTCCATGTTACGAGCAACCAAATGTGAAAAACACAATTTAACGCACGTGTTGAAATATGTGTGTGTGGCCCATAAGTTGCATAAATATGATATACATGCATATGAGGCTGTGATAAACAAACCAATGTTATGAACAGACAGGCTTCAAACTACCAAACACTGTATTTTCTTCTTCAATGTCCTGTTTTATACTGTATTTTTTGAACAAAATGCTTGAACTTATCAGTCCTCTTTATTTTATTGTTTCTATGTGTCTTTACACTTTGCAAATGTCAGCCTCCATCCAACCGAGGAGCAGCATTGCAAGGATGTCAATCAAGAAATGATTGGGGGGGGGCAACATTTCTCTTTTCAAGTTGTATCACTTTTGTCTGCTTCAACAAGAAATACATAACGTTCATTTGATTGTTTATTGCACGGAAATGCCTTCTGTGAAAATAAACTTTGTCTAGTGAGAATCAGATGACAAAATCACTCCTAGGTGAAATTTAATGCACAGATGGTAATTATTTCCCTCGGAGCAGCCACGCCCACAATGTAAGACTTTTTCTCCACGCGGAGACTTTTGTCACCGGGTCAGTTCCCGGTCATGCCTGAATCTGTACGACTGTTTTATGGTAAATAATATATGTACATCCCTCAGGTCCCCTCCCTATCTACATTTCATTATGCTGCCGAGGAAGTACTGTTATACTAGCCACAACCCAAACAGCCATGACGAGTCAGCACATATCTGTTAAACAATGAGTTCCACTTCCTGATACCGACCATATGGGCTCCTTGTGGTGACTGATCTTTCAAGACTCCTTACTCTGCAGTGGTTGGGGTCTAACCAATGGGAGTCTACAGGACTGTGGTGTATGCCTTGGTGAGGACAACTTGGAATCTTTGCCAAGTTGGCAAAAAAAAAAAAAAGGAGTTATGACCATATTAAGTGATTGGGTGAAACTCTCATCACCGCTCCGTTGACACCAGGTTAAGTGACCAACCAAATTAGAAGATACATACACAGGTATTTTGGAGAACCTTCTGGTGGCTTTTATATGACTGGTGGGTTTTGGTATGAAGTAGGACAAATCCAAAAACCTGTAGATTCATTTGATTTGTTTATTTTCCTATATAAATTAGTTATTTTTTGAGTCAACACATCAAGGTCTCTAAGCATGATTTCAATAATTTATATGCACTAGTCCTTAATATTGCTGAACATCCCATACAACCCCCCCCCTTCTACCGGTTAAGTGGCTTTACCCGACTTGCAGATATGTGTTTGCAGGGGAATTACCCTTACCTACTGATAGACTTCTAGTCTACTCCATTTATTCACTGACTGTCTTTTCACTGAATCCTTATTTGTACGTTAGTAGTGAGCATGCCTAAAACTATATTGGGATGACAACTTGTCATATACATGTATGTTCATATAAATCACGACGTAGATATTACTTGAAAAAATAGAAATAAGCGATTATTTTGCTTATAAAAAAAGCCAAACATCACAGAGGCAAAAAGAGTCATTCTCTAAGCTAAAATGCAACTTATCAAGAACTTTAGTCAAGCAGTACTGTTCGGACACATTCTCAATTGACTCCATGAGGTCATGAATGTGTCAGACGTGCCACTGCAACACTGGTATAATACACAGTTGTCATAACAGAGAACAATACACAATCATTTGATGCTCTGCATTCTATTCAATATTTTTCAGCTTGTTTGACTTATATAGTCCAAATACACCCGTTTACGTCTAAAATCCTCTGAGAGTGGTGGTACTACACCAGGGTAGGCCTATATGCTCATGGTGACAAGACTTATAGCCCTTTGTGTCGTCGTACTGACCAGATTACAGCATTGTTAACGGCGGATCCAACTGCCGTATTGTTCTGAACCAACCATCCGATCGACCTCAACGGAGTGGTAAGTCAAATATTATTTGAAGAGCATCCCCCCACACACGCATACAGCTAAACTTGTGGGGTATTTCCTTTGTTGTCGTGTACAAACTCCCGCACAACACGCAACAAATTTCAAATCAGTCCAATCTAAATCTTATTCAATTTCCTGGGTTGAAATTTCGACCGTATGTCCCTTATATAAAACACTTCAATTTGCGACAGATTTTTACCCATAAAAATTTTCCCCTTTTTGAGTTATTTCCAAATTTCAGTTTCGTGAAGGGGTACTTCCCATTGCTCCGGTACCCCACAAGGCCCCATGTATAAGTGCACCCACCCACACCCATGTGCAGCTTTGCGTTGGTCATTGTTTGATCGGAATCTCAGGAATTCTTTTCAGACATTGGGGGGGGGGGTTAGGGAACAATAGTCTAGAGCGTGTATAGGGATTGGACATGTAGGGAGGTACACCTCCGTCCCATATCTTGCTGGGTGTAGGAGCTTGTGTTGTAAGTGCAAGGCTGCGAAACTATGACATAACGACCAATCGAATCCGAATTGCACCAATTCAAATTGTTGATATGAACCACAGAACCCAGGAACAACCCACCATGATAAAATTGTGGTGAAACGCAAAACCACGGATCTGAAAGGCCACTTCACGAGTGAATTCCAAACAAGAGCGAAGGTTTGAATGTACATAATTGACAATGACAATGCATTTTGTTGATGCTCCAGGGATAACAGTTTATGCATTATTAATATTTATGCTCTGTAACGCATGCTGTGTATAGCTTGTATGTTATGGCACAAATTTCTGATTAATGGTAACGATTTATGGATCCTGTTGGCCAAATCATTCATTGCTGATGTTCATAAGTTATTGCTGCAACTGCTAGGTATTTTAATAGCTGTAGTTGATGCTACCATCAACACAAATGCCTGAGGAAACAACAGTTTATGGCCTAAGCCTGTCAGCTAAAGATAGAGGGCTTAGACAGTAATTGTTAACCATTAATGAAAAAACCATGGAACCAATGCCACAAATGTATTTGTCGGGATCCGCTAGAGAATAAAACGTTTCACTTCTCACGAGCCTGAGCACTCTTGACAGGCTTTCCATTTGTAACACTGGCATTGGAAAACAAAAGCGACAAAAATATGACTTTGCATACGTTATAAACATACCGACACTGCTATAGGGAGTAGTTGCATTGGAAATGGTGACGTGAGTAGCCTTTATCGCAATACTTTGTACCGTGGTAGAATTAATGAAATTTACATGCATTATACACACAGGCAGAAATCCAATACTGCCACTATATTTTCATGTTTGGTTGGAAGGTTTTCATTTACATAGCAGAGTTTTTGATATAGTAAATAAGGGAGCCTATCAATTGTTTATTTCATACGATCTGAATGTGACCTGCTGCGTAGAGATATTGGCCCTTGAAGAGAGAGGGTTTCAGGCATTGTTACGCTACACAAGATACGCATCAACTTAACGCATTATAGCTGCGACACATCCCACTCGTTCCCATTCAGTCTCACTCTAGGTATGTGTAGGCATTGTCGAGACTGCACCCATATTGCCATTATCTACGCCTGTAACACATCTCTGACAATTACAGTCCTATCTTTCTGAATGCTGATAATTCAATGTAGGTGAATATGGTCTATAGAATAAGAATCCGAAATTTCATTTTGAGAACCTTTTCAGGTGAACAGTAGGCCTAACGTCTAATTAAATCAAAATCTAATTAAATCATATTTTGCAAATATCCCTTTTTGTTTAGGAGATAAATTGAAAAGAATTATCACTCTGAGGGCAATTAAAAAAATCACAGCAATCATATGATAATGTCATCAGAACTCTCGTTCTTGTCAACGTCAAGTTGATATATACGTTATATATACATCTTGAAGACCAGATGCGTAGGATTATTGTCAAGAAAAAAACACAAATAAAAATGTTCCATGTTTTTGTACGCCTGTTACACCTGACCTAGGGGCCGTCCATAAAGTACAAAGGTCAACGCACGAAGGCGTGGGGGTGGGGTTTGTGCCGTTGCATTCATCATGCGTACAGAGGGGGGGGAAGCATTCAAGCCGGTGCGTACCGTACGAAAACCAAAAAATTGCTTGTAATGAGTCTTCAACATATCAATACACTTGTTGGCGCCACTGCGTACGCCATGCTTACGGGGAGGGGGTCTGAAAAGTCGGTATTTCGTGCACACGTACTTAATGAATGGCCCCAAGATCCGATTGGAATTGACTTCAAACTATTTTTTAAGAATTTGCTTGATTTAATTTTTAAAATCACACTGTTAAAAAATTTCTGTCAAATAACAGTAGATTCTATCATCAATTGGCATTACAGAAGTTGCTTTTGGAGAGCACATTATACTATCATTTTTTTCTCAGTTTACGAACAGGAGATTCTTATGGAAGTCTATTTAGGACATGGTGAGAAAAATCTATTCGTACATACGAATTACTATTTCGTACGTACGTATTACTAAACCATAGTTACGGATTAGTAATCCACATGTTGCATTCCATGACTAAACTTCCGTTCATTGGGCCCGAGCGGGACCACAAGAGGATGCGATTTCCTAGCAACGGAGGCTCCTTCAGTAGGAACTCCACTTTGCTGGTTCCCAAATGACAATGAGATGCATGCGTTGTGTACGCGTCCAGCCCTGCCAACAACACAACACTCCCCACCAGTATGGCTCTTTTCAACCGATGAGGGGATGCTTCTGCTCAAGACGGAATTTTAAATGCGACCAGTGCATATATATATAGTGTCATTATTTACGAAATCGTACGTACGAAATAGTAGTCCATACTCACTAAATAGTAATCCGTCCGTACGAATTACAGTTTCCCTTTCCATGTTCTAAATACACTTTGGACAGTAGAATGTGCTGTCCCAAAACAACAACTTATGTAATACCAATTAACAATTAATGTACTGTTATTTACAGACATTTTGTAAAAGCGCAGATGTGACAAAGGCACAAAAACTGTATCCTACATCTGTACAGTGACACATAATAATGCAAGCCCATAAAGTATTACAAGGGTGAAATTGGAGTTTCATGATATGATTCAAAATGAATATATGAATTTATAAATGTTGTATAGTGCAAAATGTATTGTCTTATACAGATAAAATCCATCTAGCGTACTTCCCCGATGCTGCCCCGTCAATTCTAATTTCCATTTCATCCAAAGGAACTTCCTGTTTTCTACCTCAATCAACTTTTCACGCAACCCCCTTCAACATTATGTGCATGGTTACAGATAATTGACTAGAATGAAACGCGTTGGAATTCTAATGGCAGATTGATGGCATGAACTTTTCGACACTAGTGGGTAGGTTTCATGTCCTTCCGTTTCCAATGTATTACTGAATTGAAACCAACTAGGGCGAAGCTCTCAAAAGCAAACCAAAGTTATCTGAAAAATGACTTTTTTGAGAAAAATGTCGTCAAAGATCCAGTGGCTGCCATTTTTGGATCATAAATTCGATTCCATTGTGTTTATCGGGTAGGTCCATATCTGTTCTTAACATGTGTAATATTTCATCTGTTTCAAATGGGCGGTTTTGTCTACGCAGTCAGTTTTCACAAAGAGGCAGTTTTTTCTATATGTATCTGAGAAAGAATTTACACAGTTCAAGGATATATGATTTTGATTTTTCGCCTAGTACCATTTAAGAGTTGAGAGTCTGTCAATCGTGTAAGCCCTCTGCATACAGATCAAGCCTCACACAGGAAAAAAAAAAGATCACGGTTACAGCTGTGCAATTTCTTCGTTATTGTGAAAGTCGCCGAGTCTGCAACAAATCTGGGCATGCAGCTGCAGCATTGAAATGTTTGATTATTTACAGCTGAGTAAAACCTGGTAAACAGACGTTAAAAATGGTTTTGCTACTCAAGCTCAAATATTTTTGACGAAAGGAAGTATCTCATGACGATACATGTATAAGGAACTGCGCGAAGTAAAGTATTTTTTAAAAGAGATAAATTACTGTTGTCTTATAGGGTTTAATCTGACAAAACACGTATCTTTTAGAGGTGTAACCTAATCGAGGCTCACTCGTTGGGAAGCATTTAGATTAATTGAAAGGGATGAGTTACAGATAAAATGTTCTCTTTCAGATTTATAAAGCGCATCTTCGGGGATTGTTCTATGGTGAGACTACAAATATCAATTATTTATATAAAAACAATTTGTATAAATATAAAGCAGATTCATCACGGCTTTTGTGGCCCTTGCCAAACCACAAAGATTAGACAAAGTTCTTCAAGATGCTCACAGGCGCCGTCGTGCATATGATTTGCTACGCTTTACCATGACTTAACACATTGGGGGTATCGGACCAAAAGCGTGACAATATGACTTATAGGCTTGGGGAGCAGATCTGTTTTGGTGCAATATACCGGTGATTATGATGACTGTGAGACAAGACACAAAACAAGGAAACCTGACTGGTGCAGACAAGAAGCGCAACTCCACATCACTACGATACAAGCGGAATCTTCTAATGGTTGCTTCTGTATATTTTTTTATTGGACGTACAGGAACAACGACAACATTCTGGAAACACAGAAACAGAAAGGGGACTTAATTAAGAATCTTACTCGAATCGATGAGTTTCAAACTATTCACTTTCCCCTGTGACAAAGATTAACATAAATTTACATTCTGCTGGAATATATCAACTACGTCCGACAAAACTGAACTAGTCGCTAAACCAGATATCGCTGTAATTAGAATGAAGCTGAAGCTAAAATTAGTGGGCTGGTCATAAATAAAACAAACAGAAGGCATAGTAAAAATCAACTATTGACATGTGGGAAAGTTAAGGCTAATTCATCTAATGTATCAAATGTACAAACCTGGAATATTTCCTATGGATAGCCAGACAAAGAGATATCTAGTAAATTGCAAGTAACTCTACATGTATTTCTACATTGGCAATCACTAATGCAATCTTATCGCATCGTACAATTTAATCTGTGTAATTCCAATCTCAAATGAAATCATTCATTTAAATTGTTCTCTTTTTCTTGCCGTTACACAGGATAAGATGGAATGATTAAAAAATACTAACAAAGAATTTCATAGTTTATTAAGTTGCGCGCGGACGCAACGCTTTTGCTCGCTGTTACGCAACAGTCCAGCTGTTATTTAATCCACTAAACATGGCTGGTAACCTCGAGCAACAATGATGAATTATTAGGGAATTCCAACAAGCAATTTCTTGATTGAATGAAGTTGAGATGAGTGTACGACAGTGAGATGAGACTAGACCTTATTAGTGATAAACAGCTAATTTCACACTACAGTGTATTTCACTCCAGGCAAAAGTACAACGGCCAATTCACAAACCAAGGTCGCATCACAGGGACGTTGTAAGCACAATTCCACTGCACAGTTCAACCGTGCACTGTCAACACAAAATATCACACTGGGTACGGCCCACATGCATGTACACGAAGCACAGTGGGCCCAATCGCTATCTACAATGCGCCCGCAAGTGACGGGCTTAGTAGTCTAGACTGTACTTGCGCCAAGCGTTGCGTATCTGTCAAAACGCTCCCTTGGCGATTTTGACGGCCGAACGCAACGCACACGTGTGTTATGTTAATGGAGTCGTTTTTGTGTCTGTGAAAGTGAAACGCATAAACTCTTCGCATATACGCAACGCAGCTAAAAGCGTACGTAATGAAAGGCGCCGTTACAGACTCGGACAGTCTGCCAGCGCCTACCGTAGCATCCATTGTTCACATATCCCATAGGCCTCAAGCAGAAACACTCCCTCATCATCGGCTGAAGAAAGCCTTGCTGGTCTGGAGTGCTCATGTTATTGGTAGCGATGCGTCTCTAACGCGTACATTTCATGTAGTCGTTTGTGAATCAGCGAAACGCAGTCCCCTGTACTATGCAAGGGAGCCTGCTTTGTAAGGTAAATCGCGCCCTCTCTCTGTCCAGCTCGAGGCTCATAGTACACAAAAATGTTGACTGCTTCGAGTGGTGTAAAAAACTAGCTTCTTTGGTTGAGAGACTGGTTGTAATACACCATCGAAGCAGTCAAGATTTTTACAATGCGGCACACTTAGAATATCTAGAACTTACGTCTTCAAAGCTCTGCTGACTCTGCCAACTATAATCGCGCGCGAACTATAGAACTTACACAGAGCGCCAAGCTTTGCCCATCCTTCGTTTATCAAGGACACTTAGTTCATGCACAAATAAACTTAATAATGTTCAAATAGTTTTCCGCTACAAAAGAGTCTGCAAATTGGCCCATGATGGCACGTTTGTGACACCCCTAGACAGGAAAATTAATGTTGAGGCCTAAAGATGATAGAGTTTGAAATCATTTTTTCGTTCATCTTCGAACAGGCCTTTTTAACGAAATCCCCGGAGTGCCATCAAATTTTCAAAAGAACACATTTTCCAAGTCCGTTTTTATGAAATTTCTTTTTTGTTTCCTGAAATAGAAACGATGTTTCTAAATACAGATATCACAAGAACGAATTGAGCATATACGTCTCCAACAAACGAACTCTAGGAAAAAAATATGTCGTACGAACAACGCTGAAAAATAATACTTAACGTTTTGAACAAAAAAATTCTACACTTGCTGGCACTCTGGGGCTTAGTACCTTTTTATTTACCGCCATTTACTCACTATTTATCAATTTATAGGAAACGAAAACATTGCCTTAACTGGAAGAGAAATATCGTGCTAAAAAGACCTCTAACTTCATAAAATCCAAAGTACACGATGATCAGCGCAACTCGGTAAACTGGAACGCAGATGGAAAGTTACGAAATTATTTTGTTGTAGTCTTAACATAAACACTGAAATAAAATTTGAAAGAAATACTTTACTAGTTAGCAGTTTCTAAGGAAATGAGCTTGAAGGAATGATCTGCATTTACGAAATATTGTGAAGTCTAATCTCCCCTTTGCTGACAGCAACTGGCAACCGGTCAACTCGACTGAATCTAGAAATCCATTGACTGTAGGGAGACAAACCTTTGCAAAGTTGTACACTCTCGATCTCACGTAAATATTCATGAAGTGAGAACAAACATGCATGGACAAGGGGACCCAGGAACTGTAACGGCTGAAGTGAAAGGTCACGAATGAAATTTGTTTTTTATTCATCTCCAGGTTCCTTTTCAACAATGATACTTCTTTACAAGAATGCAAACTTAAGATAACAAACCAACTGAATGTCTGATCAGGCCGATTCATACTTCACTCGAAATGCGACTTTGTGACGTCAGGTCAAACATTTTCTGTACAAGTTTGCAAAAGTTGAACACATTTCCACTCGAGAGAAATATCGCTCCAATCTTTCGTGACGTCCTGTTTGCTTGGCTTTTACGTTCGCCAGTAGTATGAACCGATCTTTAAGGTGATAGGGCGGCCCCAGGCAAAATGCCCGTAGGCGGGCCGCGCTAGGGTTTGGAAGCTTACTGCGTGACCTTTTACTTTCAAGCTCTACGGAAACACGAGCAACAATAAAAACATAGGTGGATTATAATTATTACGACGAGAATGGAAATGAGGTGAAAATGAGCCATCGCTCATTGTCAATGATGACAATGATTAAGGCTGGAGAGGACTATATTCCTAATGGATGACAAGGCTCTTACTAAGATTAATAATAGATCAATTCCCCAAATGGAAGCGGCCAATTTTCTCACAGCGACAGTACCAAACGTTTAATCACAAAGGTTACCATATAGCAAGGCGTTGCTCAGTTTTACTATAGGCAGTTCAACTAAGTTGGTCGTGCATGAGAAGTCAGACGACTTCATGAAGATGACCGATTGCATAGTACTGGTATATACCCTCTTCAAAAAGAGGATATGGCCTACAGGTGCTATACAGTCGTAATTTCGGAACCATTGTAACAGTCCCTAAAATACGTTTATTATTTCATTTATTTTACCACTTTACTGCATTATCGAAGTACCAAACCAACTGGTATACAGTAATGCGTGCTGAAGTCCCGCAGTGCATTTTGAGTTAAGCTGTTAGAGAGGCTTTAAAACACGTTTGCTGGAAACACATGTTGGGGTAAAGTATTCCCCTGTTATCCCCGCACCTACCTGCCTCAGGAACGTTCCAGACTTTGTTCTACCATTTGAATCTCTACAATGATTCGTATTTCACCGAGTCATATTTCGTCAGGTGCATAAATATACCAAGTGCCAAGATGCACTTTTCTGTCCTCTTTTTCCATCACTGGAATCATGACCTATAAGATGGGCATCCGTCAGTGGGGCTTTGTTTCTGGTAACAACCCCTGGCTTCCTCCAGACGCTATAAAAACAAGTGCAAGAGTTGCTCTCGCCACCGTTTTCCTAGTAATGGCATGTCACAGACACTTTGTATTCCCCTTCTACCACCCCCCTTCCCGCACACGCCTGGCCCGTTAGCTTAATTGCTCTCCACTCATCATTGGACCGTGTGCCGTGTGATACTCCAAGCGCAGAAGCTTCCCTCGCGCTAGCGAAGCGTGACGGCCTACCAACCAAACTCATCAATTTTTCAAGACTACAAATGAATTCGTGCGAAGGTGGTGTGTATGGAAGGGGCAAGCGGGAATTGTACAGGGCCCGCATAACATTATAATTTATGCGCTTTGGTGGAAGTGGCCGTCTGTGTTGACATTATGATAAAATGTCATCATAAAATAGGAAGGATGATTCCGAATGGGTAAAGTTCGGATAGTGCTGCATTTGCAATGATAACGCAAAACACATTTTTGGTATCTTTGTATATCAAACTGCATTTGTACTAATTTTAGTGGGGCTTTATTTCAAATAATTCAATGTTGGAAATAAAAGTTACACCCAACCTTTGTCTGTTTTCGCTTGTTCGTTTTTTATACCATAAATCGACTCTTAAGTTTGACCATTCTCACTGTAAGCATTTTTGCCGGGTATGTTCGGCTGTAAGTGGAGAGGAAAATTGTATTTTGCCAAAAATAGAAGTTGCTGCAAACGTCTGACTGGTAGCAACCTTGCCGGTAAAACTTGACCAAGAAAAATGAAGCAATAATTTATTTTAATGAGTTCTGTCAAGCTTTTTTTTGGGGGGGGGGGTACACGCTTTCTCCGTTGTCGTGTAAAACGCTTACAAAACACAACTGCTTGCTGGAAGGCACTCATTATTCGCTTGCCCAAAAGGACAATTTTCTCAGTAGGCTGTGGCTTACTGAAAATTCCTTCCAGCCGACGGATAGTCATGTCATTTGCATTTCATTTCATGCCGAGGTTACGGAGCAGAACATTCAGAATAGATTACATGTCCTTCATTTGCGCAAATAGAGCGGGATACATGGGCAAGACATGTGCAGTGGTGTGGGTCTCCCGCACTTAAAAGGAGATTCAAAATGCCAGCAATTTTGTCGCCATTGAAATGAAGGTTAAATTTATACCATTGCACAGACCCGGCAATGCATACTTTTAGTCATATTTTATACAATCTAAATTTATCTTATTTTTATATTTTTCATAATTAGTCGTGTGAAGGTTCTACAGATAAGTTGTAAAAAACGTGGAAGAAAGTATCTCTGTTGTTGGTAAAGTCGCTAAAATCGTTCAGTCTTCTAGTTTGATGCGCTTTGAACAGCAATTGTTCATATAGTTTTATGATAATGATACAAATATCTCGTAAAACTGACTTCCTGGATAACCTTGAACGCGCAATATACAGCTGGCCAATTAACCATGAATATTTAATTTCTTCATAGCGACATGCAAGTCTGGCAGCCTTATTGAGCCAATGAACTTATAGCAAAAGAGAGCCACGTCACCGGGAGGCGCCGCCTCGCATTGGACGGCTCAGCAATAACCAGGCAAAAAGCAAAGTGTCTGTTGTCTGGTAACTTACCACTGGTGGAGAGAGGTGCCGATTTTGAGGAGCACTCGTCGTTTGGAGATCAGAGGGGCAGGAGTTACACAGTCTGCGATGCCATAGCCTCTTCACTCCTCGTCTGTGATCAGTCACTCTGCTGTCTGTCATCACTAAATTTTTTATCAGCCACTCAACATTGCAGTCTTTCGAAATCAACTGTCATCGACTGGAGTCTGAAGCGCAAGAAAGGTAACATTACTCAGAATCAAACGTTCACAAATCGCGTGTGAATATGTACTGATACGACTTTTTCAATATCAAACCCTTACCCGCCACATAAAGCATCCACGCTATTACAAACGTAAAAGTCACTGAGTCGTAAAATTGTGTGTTGATATAGTGCTGGGAGTAATCGTATTTAATTACATAACATGTGGGTAAATCACTTCAAAGAAACAAACATGTCTCGGATACTGCATTTAACGATACGAAAACTCACCGAGCCCACACACGTGAACATAGTTCTGCCAACGGCCGCTTCGAAAACTTATTGGAACCTCGTCTCGTGACATGGCATACTCAGGAGTGTTGATGCAGAAACAGATAAATCAATTGTTCACCTTTTGAGAGAAAAAAGTGTTAAGTGCATACAGCCAATTACATAATCCATAAATGGAGACTGTTCGTTGCATCCTGCCATGATCACGTTCACAATTTAATTCAAAGATAATTTAAATCCTTCAGCAGAACACAACTTTTTACCTGGGCGGCGCGGGTTTTCCCATTTTTGTAAAAACTGGCGTTTATTGTTCTTGGCAAGCCGACGTCTTGATACTTTTCAATTATTTAGCCATTTACAAAGACTTCATTAAGGATTTTCGAGAACTGTATACTGAGGCATATTCGTCTTTTCTGAAAATATTTTGGAAGTGGCTAGCTGATTTTTGTTGGTTTGTATTAAAAAAGAAATCACCCCTGGGTCATATTTGACTTGTCCGATATTGAGATTTCTGGACTTAATGTTGCAGATGTAGACTATAGTGCTCTATCACTGGCCATTCCATAACATGGCGGCAGGCCGTGTGCGCGATATAGTCCCTTGGACAGAACCGTTGATTTGAATAATTGTATGATTGGAAATGCTGTATAATATCTTGGACACCCCAAAATGGGGCTATTAAATGGCACAATCTATATTTATACCATCCACCTTAAACACCGTCATTTTGGAAACCTCTTTTTTGACACAGATAAAAACCATTCAATATAGTAAGCCCACCGAGGGAACTGGAACCTGTTTTGTTTCCCCTTGTGTGAATATCTTATCAAATTGTAAAAAGCGGCAACAGCTCAGGTCGGGATTATATTTCAGAGCGTAGTGGTTTGAGACAAATGGATTCATAAAATGACTTTTTTTTACTGGAAGGCACAAATTCCAGCTATGTCACTGGAAAGCCCCATTTTCGACGTACCAAGGTATGCTACAACGGAAGTAAATATTCAGCTGTAATCAGAACATTTCCAGTAACCAACCCATCACAAGACACACTGAAATATTTGAAAAGATGAAAGAAACATTTGTAATAATAGACATAATGTTCCGACAACATTTTCCGATTTATCCATAACAAGCTTCAAACCTTCGTCATAGTATCATCCCGTCACTCGACTTCCCGCATCTGTTTCAGCTATTATATTGTCATGTGCAACTGAAACAGCGCATGAGATTAATATCAAATTTAGAATCAACCCTTTTATGGTTGGTGAACTTCTTCATTTTAGGAGAGCAAATTTTAAAGTCACACAGATGAATGTGCAAAACATGAGGTAGCCCCCAAATGTAATTAAAATCATTGAAACGGATCGCCACGATCGGACCTTCTATCTTGAAGATAATGTGGCCACCACGCTGTGACAAGTTCGTCTGTCATGTGTCCCACCAAGGTACAAGTAAAGAAAATCAAACAATATATATATTTAAAATAATGCTTCCAGATTTTTTTTGGGGGGGGGTAGAAAAAAGTTGGGATACTTTTTTCTGAAAACAAATTACTTTGAAAACAATTTACATTTGGTTTCACTTTTAGCAAGCATTATTTTGGCTGAACAAAGAAGCTGACTCAGCATTTTGTCAAAAAGTGTGAACGACATGGATTTGTTATTTTAGCAGCAGTATAACGACATTTTGGGAAATAATTAAAATGCTACAGTTGCAGATTTGAATGAGAAATTATTTCAAACCAGACGGTGATTGTTGGATTATCTCAACCGAACATTGGAAAGTGGTCATTTATTTTATCCCGTATAATTGGTTGTCGAGTCTATCTCACAGCTGCAGGTGCGATTATTTCAAAGAAAAAGTCTGAAGCATTCTTTCCATATCAAGGGTGTTAAAAAGAGCTCTTCGGAAAAGCATTGTGCAAATTTTTTATACTTGGCTTATGACAAGATTACCATTCTCGTGCTTTTTAAAGTACGACTCTGCTATAAACAGTTTATATTCCGCACACAATAAGATGGAATTTGCTTCTCTCCTATAATGCAACCACCAAAGGACTGAAGGGGGGGTGAAAAGAGAGCATAGAATAACAGCTGTGGATGATATGGTAATAAAAGCAATGATACTGTCATTATGTATGTGTACGTTTCCCATATTTGGTCGTCATGGTAACTTTTGAGCATATTATCAAGGTATATTCGTATGGTTTAATAATGACCAAAAATGCCTTCCAGTGGCAGCAGTCCTTCCTGGAAAAGCAAGCTGAATTCAAAGTCGAGGAAACCGTTCGATGAATAAAATATTATACGCCTTTCTATGGGTTTGGTGGTCAAAAAGACCGGCGTCTATAGTACATTAACAGCTGCATTAGCAATCATCAGAGCTAGAATTTTGAAAAGAAATTTTGAAAGAAAGTTCTCTGAGAAAGCCTTGAAATTTTGAATGGCCTATGAATACCATATTCTTTTCTCACTCATTCTATACATGGCTTCGAACGATGGCTCTAGCTCAGTGTTCATTATTTTCTAGGGTTAAATGACGCTGATTGAAATGTTCATATAATTCATGAGAAACAAAGTTATGCCTTCTTAGTCGGCATCTCAACTGTTCCTTCACTAAAAGCAGATACAATTTGCAGTGAAATATTTCGCTCAAAGTTGTTGCAGGGCTTGGACTCTAATAAGCGGCCTGTGATCGTCTTCAGGTAAATTCCAACATGCATCATATGTATGTTGGATCGTCCATTGAAAATCAGATGTTGACCTGCAGTCCATGATCTAACACCATGGCATTTTCCAATAATATTTCCAACGTGTACAATTGCCGTTTGTCGCGTAATGTAAATGCCGTTATTTCTTAACCCATAATGAATGTGACTTTCATAGAAAGCGCACGAGCCGCTCTGAATAATAAAGTGGTTAGTGTATAATCCGGCATTTGTGATGCATTTCAGTGAATTTTTACACTGTTACTGACGACTGTGGAGGTAGTTACTTTTGTGATGAATTTTAGCATGTAATAGTTGTCAGTTTGCCCAATAACATCAGGAAACGAACAATTTGTCGGAGTTCACTATCAAAATGCTTGACCAGAATTTAATTTTGTTTCTCAAAGAAACTTTGCAAACACGGGCCTCGCTAGGATCTCGGGGGACCACCTTTCTGGGGGAAGGGCAAAGCACTCATCAGCTAAAATCTTAAAAAATGGAGGGCCTGAAGTTTAGATCCTAGCAGAATCTTTGTCAAAGGCAAAATAATAAGTGGACAGGACAAACAAACAGAGAATCAACCATTATGAAGCTAAAACAATCAACAGTTGGGAGGGGTTCTATTTGAGCATTTTTCCTCATGTTTCCCCTTTATTATTTATACAAAATTTCCGGCGGGGGGGCAAGCGTTCCCCCTTCGCCACACCGTTATTTGTAAAATATGCAAACCCACATTTGTTATACAGGGAGGCCACAAAATTAGAGTCTTGGCGCCTATTCCGTGCCTTCCTATGTTTTAAAGACATGTATGTGATTATGATAATGATAGCTCTCTCAAAATTGACGCTTGTTATTAGCGGGGTTTGCGGAGTGTGTTTCAAGGATATGGCACTTACTGATGAGGGGCGCGGCAGGCACTATCAGCGTGACGAAGATCGAGGACGGAACGTGGAGAGCGATAAAGTAATAATTAATCTGGAAATAGCTTCTGTTTTGGAAACGAAATTCGGATTCAGCCCAGAAAAAAGCATTATATAAAGTCTTTCGTGTAAGATAAACACAAGACTAGACCTCATTTCATTGAACAACTGTAAAAACGGATACCTTCACAATTAACTGCAAATTTTCACTTTTCTACTTTTTACAGAATTGGAGCATTAAAAAGACCGTTTTTTGGTGAAATATTAGTTGCAAATTAGAAATGAAAGCATCCATTGTATATCCCTAGCAAACTCTTTAATGTAGTAAGAACGAGGGATAGAATTGTCTATCTCTAGCAAAACCCCTTAATGCTGTATGGACAAGGGCTACAATTGTTTATCCCCACAGTGTCTAAAACGCAGTACAAACTGGAAATTAATTTGTTTATCCACCAGGAATAGACTTTTTAAGCTCAGCAAACTCATTACAATGTATGAACCATTCAGATAATTCGTCCACCCAGCAAAGTCTTAATAATACATAAATCAGAGTCTGTCTGGTTTCCAAAGAATTTTCTTATAATTATTTCATGATGGCCCAAGGGACCTTAACTCAGTTCTGCGTTTTTGATACAAAATGCTACAATTTTCAAAATGTAAATATATCTATTGTGATATTTAAATGTTACTGTTTGAAACTAGCAGACATGGCCAATATATTGTAACAATTCATTCATAAGAACTATGCAGCTCTTAAAGTATCTGTCCCACACCTTTCAGATAAGAGGACTATGGGAGACGCTGGTTGGTCCATATCCAGTACCAGACACACGATCCTCAAGGTTAGAGACTTTCATCCAGTAAAATCTGTAAAAAGATGACAAATGGTTTGTCACTCAAAAGAGAAATCAATTTCAAGGACATGAATATCTGGTCAATTCATCTGCTGAAATGTCTAATGATTTTTGTCACATATTGAACAGAATATCCTGCTACACTCTTGAAAATTGACAGGTTCAGAATAAAATGCACTTAAAATTACTAATTGTCGATGTTATTTACTGACCAAAACGAGAGATGGATACTGAACGTCTTTGAGAACAATAAAGGGTACATACAGAAC